TCCCTCTTCCCCACGACAGATCGGCTCAGCATCCGCATCGCTGCAGACTGTCAAGGTCCCCCGCAAAAGCCCTCATCTCTGCCCCAGGCTGCTGGGTTCCTCACTCTGAATAAAAGTGAATCCACATGAATCCTACAAGGCTTTACAACTTACACGTTAATTAATCATATGGATGAATGAACAAGATGTTTAAATGAAATGTTTGAATAATCTGTGCTTAAATCAATGAAGTTTAAATGAATGTTGCTCTTACAATGATCCATTGCAGATCCTATGATCAGCATGTGTTTGATTTAACAAGTTAATCATTATCTACACTCGTACACATCTTCATAACAAGATACAAATTAAGGTTAAGATTCACCTCACATAAGTGTTTCAAGACATTCTCATTCACAGGATTGAAAACATCTTTGTATCTGAGGAGGACGTGGCTTTCTGAGGTATGCTGGTAAATACTCAGAAACTTGTCAAACTCTGATTGACCAAACTTGGCCAGAAATCATAACAAAGTAGTTTAATAAAACAAGGATTACTTCCCGAGTAATTCGGTTTCTAGCAGAGTTCCGAACCGGCCAATTCGGGACAAGCATCCTTGAGACATCTCTGTTGACATACAGTCAAAAACCTGTTTGCACGCTGCAAGCTGACACAGCCAGACGGCTCCCCAAGAGCCACATCCACTTTGGATGCAAACAAGCATTCCAGCTACTGTTGTGACCTGGAGACATCTCAAGACCGGACGGGTCGTATCGGAGCTAATCTGCGGGCTCCCGGTGCCGTGAGGTCTCTTGACAGTCCGGATCTGCTGGGGGTCTCTGCCAGGGTTTGTAGACACAACAGATTGCGTCTGATGCTGTTTTACTAATAATCAACTCTCTAGTTTATAGCAGACAACAATTTCTTTCAGATACAACTAATCATTAGTTTAGAAAATAATGAAATTCCTTTGTAACTATATACCTGACTCTGTCTGAATTAATACGAAGCGTGTTTATGGTCCCTGAACAAGTAAAAGTAACTATAATCTTCTGATTAACCTTCAAAGATCAATCAGGTTGATGTTTCACATTTATATGGAATTATCACACCTTACTGGTCATAATTAATTTGCAGTCGTCACGCTATAAAGCGTGACCGCTACAAGAGCGAGGACAGAGGAGGTGTGGGGAGGGGTGCAAATGAGTGCCATTGCAATGCAGTGAGAGGTGGTGCTAAAATTACCAACTGACACATGGGCTTGAAACTCCCAAGCGGGGTCACAGACAGACACCAGAGCGGAGAGGTCTCATTCATTCATCACAGAGGCTGAGAAGCACTCACTAGAGAACAGAGGCCGTCATAAACGCTCACAAATCCACCAACACACACATCCAGGGCAGCATTTTAATGATTAAAGAGAATTATTCCACCATAGTCACAATAAACTACAACAAAAGTGTTTCAAACACCATACACAAACCCAGCTGCCATATTGTGACCCCCAACCGCAGGAATATGGGAATGCTGCTTTGTACACATGGTGACGAAAGTTCGATTTAGCTTTAGAGCTCATTCCACGCTGTCGTGCTGCTTGGAACGTTTGGAAAGCATCGATCAGGCGAAGAAAATAGACACTAATGATGGTACCTGAGCCACGAGATACTTAAACATGTGATTAACCTCTGGCCTGAATGGACAAATTCATCACAAGTCTTTCATTCAGCCTTCTTTAAAAAATCAAATCAAAATCTAAATTAAATTAAATAGTTCAAAAGGTGCAAAAGTCATCCCATGTAATTTTAATTGTTGTGTTGGAGGAAAGAAATCTGTCTTAAAACCTATTTTTCACGCATATTTGCAGTGGTCTCTAGAATAAATCAATGTCTTGTGAGTCGACCTCTGTTGGATAAAAGCTCTGGCGCTCCTGTTTCAGGAACCAGAAGTGAACCAGATCAGTGGTGAGCAGACGACGGCAGGAAGTATTCGGAAATCTCACCTATGATTGGATAACAGCAATATGACTCCATCACTGACTCCTCTCTGCAACGTTGTTTTATCTCCACAAATAACACAAGCCTGAAGGAGTTCTGCTGTGTGGTGGATTTGCTAATGCTAACATTAGCTTAGATTAGATGGGACACACTCTGCTGTTTCCTGGACGCTAAACCAACAACAGCCTTCCCCGCCACAAGCCAAGATGGGTGAGTTCATGAACACTACAACGTAATGTGGACCCAACGTTTTTTTAATGCGAGGATTTCCCCGTATCATTTCTGATGGCGGCTAATGCAGGAAATAGGGGTAGGAGACAGATTTTATGTTTCATCGAGAGGAGCCAGTTGAGGTGGCTCGGACATTTGGTCAGGATGCCTCCTGGACACCTCCCTGGTGAGGTTTTCTGGGCACGTCCAACCAGGAGGAGGCCTAAAGGAAGACCCAGGACATGCTGGGGGGACTATGTCTATCAGCTGTCCAGGGAACGCCTTGGGATTCCCCCAGAGGAGCTGGCCCAAGTGGCTGGGGAGAGGGAAGTCTGGACCTCTCGACTCAGGCTGCTGCCCCCGCGACCCGACTCCGGATGAAAATGGATGGATGGAAAAAAACGTTTTCACAGTGAACTTGGATACATAAATATTTGTTTTAATTAGATAATTTGACCAATTTTAACCTCAACTTAATTTTTTTTATATCTTTATAGATATATTAATTAAAATTCATCCATAAACAGCTTAATGAGGTGGCAGTGAAAAATATTTGACTGAATTTATTTTATCACCTGCAACATTATTGGTTACAGCGGTGGAAACAAACAACAGCATGAGATATTCAACCATCTCCACCCCCCGCAGAGCTGCACGAAAGCATGTGCGTGTGTGTGTGTGTGTGTGTGTGGGGGGGGGGGGGGCATTGCCCACAGCTGAAAAAATCTGCCTTTCTCCATCTGTGTGTGTGTGTGAGTGTGTGAGACATAATCTGATTGTTCATTTTTTTTAAGAGTGACTGTTAGGTCATTTTGGGGACAAAAACGAATCACCTCTTCAGAAAAGCAATATGGAGATTTGGTTTCTCTGCATTTTGACAACAAACTCACAGGACAGCTGCTTCTCAATAAGTGCACACACACACACACACACAACCTTTGGGAAGGTGATAAAGTTGGTTGTAAAATTGCGCTACAAGTACAAACCCTTAACACCACAAATGAGAAGCCTGCAGGTTTATGCAGCTGACCGAGTGCAGCGAAGGCTCTCGGCAGCTCTGCTGCTAGCTTTGATAGCCCTCTAGTGACCACAGGGGTGAACCTGCCAGCTGAGATATAGAACCATAACCTCCTGTAATGAGCCTCATCGAGTTTTGGTTGTTTCCTCAGAGCCGACTGGGATGCTTGATTTCAGTTTAAAATGAAAACAGTCCTCTTTCGCTCTTAAAGCCTCCTTCTCTTCCTTTTAACAACTCTTCATGCACGCCTATATGTGTGAGCGAGGGGAGGAGGGTAGAAGGAAGTCTTGTCTGCGTTTATGCTTCAGGAAATCAGCTCATTCCTCTGGAGTCGAGACTGAGGTCACAGGGAGAGAGCAGGAATAGGGCAAAGAGGACAAGAGTCCCCCACAACAACGAGATTGCATCATGTGAAAACTTTCCAGACTGAAAAAAATATAATAAATCCAGAGTGTTACTGGTGCGGCTGACGCTGGCAGCAAAGTCATTCAACACAGCCGAATTTAATTAAACAGTTTTAAAATTTATGGTGTCATGCTCCAGTAAATCTGGGGTCTTTGTCTGGCTGTAATTACTGCCATTCAGGTCTGAGGGCCACAATACAGTCAGATCGGAAACAGTTCCATATGGTTCCTCACGTCCACCCTCGGAGTTCATTCAGACAGGCGGCTTCTGTGACTGACATGCGAGTTGGCACTGGTGCTAAACGAGGAGGGGTTTCCACCCGCCTGAGCCTCGGTGCGTAAATAATGATGATAGCAGCTCTCAGTTGTGATTGTAACCATGCCGTCTCATCTTCCTCATGAATGGTGCCCAAACGGGTCGCGATGAGCTTAATGAAGAGAATGAGCCGCAGACTGATTTGCTCCAACACGAGGGCTGAAATGGCGTCAAGAGCAGAAAGGATTTGGCAAACCTCGTTACGAACATCGATACGACGTCTCAGTGATGGCAGCGACAGGCGGCGCTCAATCCATGTGTAAATCTTAAGGGAACGTTCGAACATTTTAAACCGATAATTAAGGAAATAATTTCATTACAAGTTGGAAAATTTATTCCAGATGTTTCTTGGGTTTGTATAAGCAGCTGTGCAGTGGACTTAAGGAGGCGTGTGTCATTCTCAGAACAACCCTCTTTCTCCAAATGCTTTACAAAAATGTAGCTGGAGACATTAAAGGAGACATGCAAAATTCCCCGTTTGCATCCTTTTGTGCTGCAATGTGGGTCTCTACTTCCTCTATAAACACCTAAAACGTGAAAACATCGGATTTCTGTCAGTGTTTGGTTTTAGGAATTATGTGCCTGAAACAAGCAGTTTCAAAAAGTTCCTATTTGTGATGTCACAAACAGCAAAATCAGAATAGAGCCACCTGTCATGTACACGAAGGCAACTGCTCTATGCCAACCACCTACCAGATATCTGAGCTTCTCTGCTTATAGCAGCCAATCAGGGGGTGGGGTGTTTTCTGAAAGTGGACAGAGCCTTATAATGCCTTGGTAGTTGAACACATTCACATATTAAACTATCGTGTCCCTTTAGGAAATCTATCTTCATGTAAGCTAGGCTCTAATTAAACCTGCGTTTACATCGGCAAACCTGATTTTTATCCCTTTTTTTATCAGATGGACTCAAAGTAAGCAAATATGACAACTTTGACAACTTAGGTAAGGTCTTGAATCACAAATCTTCTCAGACATTTTGTCAAAACAAATAAAAGAACATAATTAACTGTGAGCTTTTCTAATTAACGAGACACGGTGTGTGGGTGAAGCTGTGGGAGGAATAAACACAAACACTGTGGGGTTCTGATGGTTCTCTTCTTTAATTGCAGAAAGCCGTTCTGTCATTAGGCGCACTAGGAATGAAATGAGCACACCTCCAGACCACACTACACCCTCCTGAGGATTCACGAGTACTCAGAAAAACCCAAAAGGACCAGAAAGTACCAACAGCATGGTCGGGTTAAAGGTCTGCTTCCGTCGCGCTGACAGATGATGGCCGGGTGTGTTGTTACATAGTAACGACTGGAAATAAGATGTTGGTCTAACAGCAGAAGTGTTTTCATGTTTAATGATTAATAAAAACATGAGAACGCGTGAGATCATCTGCACCGATGGGCGTTACAGAAGCTTAAATGGCTGCTTTGTTCACCAACTCTAGACCTCCAACAACTGTTTTAGATGTGAAAAATAAAACAAAACCAACTGGAGGTTATTTAATTTGCCCTGCTCTCTTCGAGTCAACGGGTCGGAAACAATATTAACACATTTTGCACCTTAAACTCGATACTGAATATTTTAAAAGCCTTCTTTAGGATTTAAAAAATAAATCTGGCTCTTTTTACTCTCTGTACTAAACTAAATCTCATACCAAGAGTACAAGAAACACTTTGAAAAGACTCGGTTGTCAGACCCACTGTGCTCGCGTAGTGCATCAGAGTCGTGTGTTAAATAAAGAAAACACCAATCAAGGGTATAAGGGTGAGTGTAGTAGTTAAAACACTACAAGTTTAACTCCTGAAATGACCTCCTCCTCTCTTGGTTTCTACCAAACACGTCGTGATCAAAACCAAAACCAAGTTCTGATTGGTGGTCGCTGACGCCGCTGTAGTTTAGCGTTGGTTCAACTCTAGTTTAGACCCCGCCCCACGCCCACCGACCAGATATTATGGTCTGTAAAGAAGATTTAGCGTTCTTAACCCCTTTAAGTTGGGGACTACAGTGAGTGATGTCATCAACGCTGAATCTGATTGGTTTCATCATCCTTCCTGAACTTTGGCATCTCAGTGATGAGGTCCCTCTCTAATCAACGGCTGGTTGATCGTTACAGGCTCAGGGAAATGGCGTTATTCGTTTGCTGCTAATGACCGCATGCAAAACCACATCAAAGCCAAACTCGTTCCTTGAAGCCAGATTGAAGAGCGAGCCTGGAGGATAAACAGGCAGAGCAGAGGCACAGCGTGGAATGCATAAATATGCTCTGCATGGTACTGGGGGGGGGGGGGGTGTCACAAGGAGTGGAATCACACGAAAACCCGAGAAGGAATTCAGTTTTAGGTCAAACGGGAAATGAAAATGCACGTCAGCAAACGGTGAAGAGGAGCGCTTCATTTATCCTCTTCACTCACACTCATTTTCCCGGAGTACGTCGAACATGTTAACAGCATGGCCAGGAGCATTTCTCTGATGTCCAAACCCCTCATCTTCATCGTCTCCGTCCTCATCGTCATCTGCATCCCGATCCCTCTCTTCCTCCGGCTCGCTGCTGGACTCCCCGTCCTCCTCGTCTTCCCTGTCACCTGGTCCTTCCTCCTCTGTCGCCCTTCCTTGAAGAGCCATAATCTCTGGCAGGTCCTGGTGATTTTCCCAGTGCTCTGTGGACCATAAATTAGCCCCACATAAATGAAGTCGCCCCGCTGACCGAAGCGAGGTGAAATGTAAGGAGCCTCTCACCTCTCAGGCAGCTGTATCCCGGCGGTCTGAGGCACAAACACAGCCTGCCATCTATCGCCAGCCTCAGGAGGCTGTTTGCTGCTCGGTAGACATCGTTACGAGCTGCTTTTGCCGTCTTATAACCTCGTCTCTCCGCCCAAGCTGAAGAACACAGAAACAGCATTTTAATAAGAGCAGGAGCAACCTGTGGCATTAGTCATAATTAAAGAACGGCCCGTTTTATTGTCTTACTGCCATCCCAGCAGGATTAATCCCATTAATACCCGGTTATAAAGTAATGAGTCGTGTCTCTGTAGGCTAAACCTACTATGGCTTAGCCCTCACGAACACAGAGCTACAATACGTCATGTTTAGCTAGCTGCCTGGGGCAGAAAACGGAGACCCCTTCACCGACGAGCTGCAACATTTCTTGATTTCGATGTTGAAATCTCGTTTCCTGGTTTAAAGAAACAGGGTAGAACATGTTGGTTTTTAACCAGCAGAGGGCGATAAGAGGATATTATACACCAGGATGTAGGAGGTTCAGAACACACACCAGCTGCTCCACCATGTTTACATTTAACTCATTCGCTGCCAGCGTTTCTCACCGTTTTTACTGTTTTTTTAAGAGTGACAGAACGTTGCGCGCTAGGATGATGTCGACGCCTTAAAAACCAAAACAAAGTGGAGACTCACCTCTTAAATCTGGAAGAATCCGCGCGTTTCGAGCGTTATCCGTTCTTTCATAAGCCGTTGTCGAATTGTGATCGGCAGAAGCTTTTCCGGTTCGCGCCTCATTTTTTTTACAGCAGCGGCTCAAAACGATCTCCTAACACATGGATTTTCTGCTTCCTGATCACGTGACGTGTGACGTACGCGGATGAAGATCGGCTTTAGAGCTGAGATGTTCGTTCTCACGGTGCGGGGGCTCGTCCGACGCCCACACAGTAAAAACATGCAAATGACGACTTTAGTGGTCATTGGCAGTGAATGAGTTAAAATACAGAAATGGTAGAATGCTCACTGGCCGTGATGCTCTTGGATGTAAACATCCGCCCATTAAGCTCACAATCAGATGATGACAGCTTCGCCTCGCTGCTGAATTACAGCAACAGGCTGCATTTTCTTATCAATAACAGAAACTGTGTAATGATGGTGAAAGCAACTATTCTGGAAACATGTTAAAAAATAACAAATTCTGTTAGTAAGACCGTTACTTTTAACGCCGTTATTCCCATCACTGGTGACGAAGCACGATAACATTCACGTAAACCATTATTAGTAGAGATCTGACCGCTGGAAGAGCGTAAAAACGGCTGTACCTTCACACACGTCCCAGGCGGTCCATTCGGGCTCTTTTAACCCCCGCTGTCCTGGCTGGTGATCAAGCTCCTGCAGACTGGGGTGTTTGAGCTTCAGCACGGAAAGGAACGGGGTCCTCTCACACAGGTAGCCAACTGAGGTGTATGGCTCTTGCAGCTGAGACACTGGGTAAAGACCTGCCAGAATCTGTAGAAAATAACCGTGAATGAGCTTTGACGTGGCAATAAGCCAAACATTTCAAAAGCAGCCAGAGAAAGAACCCTCATTCCAGAGAGAATACGTTTAAAATGGGACCGTGTCAACTCAAAGGTCACTAGAAATCTTCTCAGGCTGAAGTTTCAAATCCCACCTGCAGCTGCTTATTGACGCGTGAGGGGAAGACAAGTCCAGGGCAGTCACAAAGTTTGACTGTCGGGGTGAGGTAGTAGGTCTGGAAGTACTTGGTGTGGCCTGGAGTCCGAGACACACTCACCACCTTCTTCCCAACCAGGCTGTTGATTACAGACGACTTACCGACATTTGGAAAACCTGAAAAATGTAGGAGCACAGATAAATATCAGCGTTTTACTTTATAAAGTCAATCCTCTTTGGAACAGTCTGCCTTCAAATCTCCATCTCTTGAAATCTGTAGAGGTCTTCAAAAAAACATCTTAAAACTAGGGCTGCAACAAACGATTATTTGGATAATCGATTAATCGGATGGGGTCTCGACACGATTAATCGATTAATCGGATTAAATGGGGAAATTTTTTTAAACTGCTAGGGAAACGTTATTTCTCTCCTTCCTTCACTTTATTTAACACAACATTATTAGAAAACAGTTCAATAGCAGAAAAACAACATGCCATCACCTAAATTGTCTTATAAGGTGTATAGACAGATACCCTAAGCTACATCTATCTGTGACCTAAAATGCTTGGTCCAAGTTAAACAGCTTAAGGGCAATTCTCATCTGTTTTGTTTGATCTCATCTGTTGACATTTATTTTAAATGTAATTAAACATAGGCTGTGAATTAATCAAAACTGATCACTATTTCCAAAAATGACTGAAAAAATACCAAATAAAACAAAAGTAAATGAATGCCATCCTCCTTGCAATGATGCCCTGGGCAACTGCCATAAAGTCACATCAAGAAATGCTGCTGATCATTCCAATGATCCCAAATAGACTCACATTAGGCCACATGAAAGCAACTGAACCCAAAAATATATTAACCAGTATATAACTGCACTCTCACACAACACGCCTGCAGCAACAGTTAGGACTCCTCCCTCCCTTTTAAAAGCGTTTTTGCTTCCGAGGACATTGTGGTTGTAAAACCACATGCTAGTAGTCTGGCCCCGGTGTGATCAACCAGTTTCTGCGGGAATGTGACGGCGGAACCAGGGCCAGATTAACACTTTGTTGTACCCTGGGCAACAATATTCAAGGGCTCCATCATCACGACCCAAGGATCACCATAATGTGGTCACATACAGAATATTTTACTGTAATATGCAGTAAATATACTCAATACTTGAATGCCTGACAACACGTAACCCGCCCAGAGTAACCTTTGACCCACCTCGTGTGGACTGACCAATGAGGAGAGGGTCTTAACTTGAGGCCCTCTCTTCATTGGTCAGTCTGCATGAGACTGACTCTCAACTGACGTTCAGTCGTAGGCAGCGAAGCGTCTCTGTGCAGCGCAAAAGCCCGGGTGGACAGTTTGTTTAATGTAGGGTGACCATATTTCCATTTCCAAACAAGAGGACAGGGGATCTGTGCCTATGACGTCACACTATGGCAACACCACACAAACCATGTTGGGACCCATTTTTTGTAAGAACTAAATTAATATCAGATTCTGCCAATTAAAGGGCTCTAAAACAATTCATATGTAAATATTTTGCATATTTAATGCAAAATCTCATTTTTCTGCTTTAGTGCTGCAACAAGGTTTTATTAATCATAAATTATTATACCTTTTGTTTTACTACAGCATCGGTACGCTTCCTGTGCACAGATTATTAAGGATGCTTGTTTCAACTGTGAGATTAGACGATAGGATCAATGAAAAAATAAGTTGTCACACACTCCATGGAAACTTCCAGAGAATCGACAAATAGTGGCTTTCAAATGGTTTTGTTACTTTTTGCAAGTTTATAAAAGAAGCAGACGAGACAGCATGTCTGATAATTTAGTTTTTCATCTGATAATATTAGAACATGTCAGTGATGTCTGAGGGGCTTTTATAAACACCATATAACTAACACTACTGGAGAGGGCATGAATTACACAGAGGCTTCTGGGGAGCCCAGTTATGGGGGGGGGGGGGGCATTTTGCCTTGGCCCCCAAAATGTCTTGAAACGGCCCTGGGTGTGTGACTGAGTTTTGAAGGTGATCTCAATTGTATCAGATGTATAAATATGACATGTGTGTAACTTGTTGTTTTTTACTGGTAAAAACGTGTCGTGGAGATAAATCTACCTACATTTTACTTTTCAACACTTTGTTTTGTTTTCTTGTTTTTATTGAACTATTTTCCTGTCCTGTCTGTCTCTCATCTTCCTGCATCTCCTCTTAATTCTCCAGAAAATCTGTTGCCTGGATTCTTACCTTTTCACCTCATCAGTTACTTTTGAGCAGATCAAAGAGATCTCCTGACCGCAAAGCGGAGAGCGCGTTTTCGATGCTGCGTGAGGTGACATCACCACAGCACAGGTGATGAGCTCCGCAGTAGCGCGCTTCAGGCACAAATAAGACAGAAAATAGAGAACATGTGCAGACAAGAATGATCGTGTGCTAATTATAGTTTTTTGGTTGCGCCACTTTGAGAATGGACCGTGCGCTGGAAGCAGCAGCCTGGATCGCTGCACAACAATGCGGAACCGGTTCGCAGCAGCGCAAGTCTGCAGGCTCTCCGTCGCGCTGATCTGCCGGTACCGGCTCTCCCTCGCGCTGATCTGCGGGCTCTCCCCCGCGCTGATCTGCCGGCTCTCCCCCGCGCTGATCTGCCGGCTCTCCCCCGCGCTGATCTGCCGGCTCTCCCTCGCGCTGATCTGCCGGCTCTCCCCCGCGCTGATCTGCCGGCTCTCCCTCGCGCTGATCTGCCGGCTCTCCCCCGCGCTGATCTGCCGGCTCTCCCTCGCGCTGATCTGCGGCTCTCCCTCGCGCTGATCTGACTTGCTCTGGTCTGCGCGCAACGGCGGGCGGGAAGGGGGGGGGGGGGGCGCTTTTGGAAGAGTTGTGCGACACAACGAATCGATGACGCAATTCGTTGCCAACGCTTTTAGTAATCGATTTTCATCGAATTTATCGATTCGTTGTTGCAGCCCTACTTAAAACTCACCTTTTCATCCAGGCTTTCCCCCGCTAAATATTCTCAAAGACGGCTTTGTTCTTGTTCACACCTTGACTTTGTTTTTACTCCTGATTTTGGTTACTATTGTTGTCACTGCTATTGTTTTTATGATGTTTTTATTGGTTTGAGGTATTTGCCCTGATTTTACTCATGTTGTACAGCGCTTTGTGATTCATATCTGTGAAAGGCGCTCTATAAATAAACTTTACTTACTTACTTTACTACTCTTATTTCCAGAGGAATGGAAATGGTCTGAGTTTTTAACAGGATTCTAAAGATTTTCTTTGCCAAACTGTGTTCTGATAAAACTGTGAGGAGCGTTCTCGTGTTTGCTTAAGTCACCTATACAACCCAGAGTGAGGACCCCGTCTTTGTAGAGCTCCTGAGCGGGGTTGCTCATCTCCAGAGCACTATCGGTTTGATGTTCCACCAGCACCGACTCGGCTCCATCTGCTGCTTCTCCATCCAGTCGCTCTGCAGCAGCGTCTCTCTGAATCTTCTGCTCCCAGCTGGACAGGTCGACTGAGATAAAAAAACAAAAACGATCAGAACAAAGCTGGAGCAGATGACGTCTGACTTGCTTTGACAACATTCTCTCACCTCGCCCTGCTGTGATGTCCTGACAGGCTTTAAAGAGATCTTTAAGACCTCCAGCACGACTCCAGTCGGCCTTCCTCCTCATCCTCCTCTTCTGGAGAACTACATGAAAGAAAAATGAATAATTATAAAGAAAAAGTCTTGATTGCAACAAGGATGGAGATTATCATTTAATATGTGTTGAAATTCTTTCAAGTTGCAGTAGTCCTCTACTTGTTTCCAGTTAGCTCCCCTTTATCCTCACCTGTGCTGTAGGAGGGCCCAGGGTGGGAGGTGAAGCACACTATCTCGAGGTGGGGAAACTGGGAAGTCATGTAATGTTTCCAGGCGATCACCAGTGGGGGAGGACTCAGGTCGGCTTTGTTCATCACCAGAATTACCTGCTTATGTAGTTCTGCTGTGATGTAATGGTACAGATCTGGAGGGAACTGCAGTACCTGTAGGTGATTATGAGAAAACACGTCTTTTGAACAACAACTCTCTGTTATGATTCATGTCAGAAACAAGACACACAGCTGACTAACAGAACAATAAAATCCAAATGAACATGTAGCGCCATGAATGTCCTGTTTTTGACCTAAAGGTCATGATCTGCTGCGTCTGCTCGAGCAGAGACATAAAGTCTCTGACAGGCTATTCTACATGAGATAGCGGCCAAGGTCTTTCATGCACTCTGCTCATCGGAACTGCTTCACTTCTTTTACAGCTCAAGATGAAGACGAAGAACTCTCTCGATAAACACATAAACGTTTGTTATTACCAATAATAATGCGAGCCCAATGTTCAATCAATCTGTGAAATGACAATGTTATTACTTGATATTATAATCCTGTGATCAGTTAGCCTGGCAAGCCAGACTAAATAAATGTATTATTTAGTCTGGCCATGCTCCATTGACGGCTCTCGGTTGTGGGGCGGGTTCTACCGTTGTCTTTCAAATGATCTCCGCATTCCACTGGACAATGAATGTGACATACTCTTGTTTCACTCTGTTGCATCATCCCACCCACCAGGCATATAGAGTGCCATGATTGGCCCACAAAGCGGATAAAGCTCTGTGATTTGTTCACCAAGAAGATAGAGCACTATGATTGGCCCACCATTATGGACCAATCACAGCTCTTTATGTGTTTGAAACCCCTCTAGAGAGCTGTGATTGGCCAGCCAGAGTCCTGGTAGGAGCTGCAGAGGTTCCAATGGAGCGTTCCTAGACCAAACTTTGCAAAGCAAGAATTTGGTCTAGTTCACTAGGCTAGTGATCAGTAGTATTTTACAAGTAATTATAATCTTGGACATTTGATCTAGACACTGAGGACATGTAATGCTAAAGTCACACGACACATTTCCTTTTGTCTGATCCAATCAGAACCTTCGTTTCTGGTGCGAGGCGTGGTTTTCTGTGGTGTTTGTATAAATCCTCTTTTGCATGTCAAATTCTGATTCGCCAGTAAACCAAAATATGACAATTATAAAAACTATCCCACTCCACCTTTTCTTTAGTTCAAAGCGTTCTAGAGAAGTCTCGGACAGACCATGCGGACTTCCTCTTCAGCCAACAAGAACCTGAACAAGCTGGATAAAATCTGTTGCACGTTACACCTGACCTCAACGGTTCCTTCAGAATAAAAGCTGAACCTCACGACCCCTTCAGAGTCTCGGAGACACCAGTGATAACATGTCGTGATCTGGAAGCATTCCAAGGCTAGTTTGGTCGGCGCCGCTGCTTTTCTACCGGCTTCGGTTCCAAGGAGGGTCCGAGAGGACCTCGGCATTCTGAATCTAATCGGAGGCTTCCCCTGGGTACGTAGACCAACAGATAGCATTTCATGTGTGTTATAAATCTCCAACCAAAGTTTAGAGCAAAACATTCACTCCCAATCAGAACTAACGGCTTCTCCGGATCCGCTGGTTCTGAATAACATTCCACACACACACACACACACACACACACACACACACACCATCATCATTCATCACGTCTCACTCCACCTTAGTCCATCAGTACACAGGGTGTTTAAGTTAGTCTTGTTTAAATTGTGTAGAAATAAATTTCTTAACTATTTTAAACCTGACTCTCTCTCTTTCCTCGGAGTTAATACAAAGTGTCGCTTAATCCCTGCAATCAAAAGTTCTGATATTCTGGTTAAAATATTCAAAGATCCATCAGACTGATATTTCATATTTCTATGGAATCTCACATTTTATGGTTCATAAGTAAGATGTAAACTGCCCATCCTTTACAAACAGAATAGCACTAGTTATGAGAATCAACACTGATAGATACCAAATACACTTTTCTCTTTTAAAGTGAGCCTTATTGTTTCCTTTAGGTAAAAGTGTGAGAATGTTTTTTAGCTAAACATTTAACTAATTTCTACATCAACAAAGTAAACAAAGAGCCTAATACTCCTTCTAGCATTTGGTGACGGTAAACAGTGTCACCATCTAGTGGTGTGATTGGTGGTGACGTGCACCTACCGGGTGTCTGATGTCAACAATAAGAAGAATGACGTCTGACATCTCCAAAACTCGCCACAGTTGTCTCCATGTCTAAAACCAAGAGAAAAACAGGTCATTTCTGTCACTTCACAGTTCTGCGCTTATTTAAATATCTGTGACCAATAAATTGAAAACGATGAAACAGAAATGGCGCAGATGTTAAAACAGTGAACAAAGAAATTGGCCGAAGAAATCAAAACTTCTGTGTGACTCAGATCCAAAACGCTCTGAAACCCAAAGGTACGGGATATAATGGTGTATTTAGCGCCGTGATTGCAGAAACTACTATTGGAGGTAGAGTGAAATAGTGAATAATTGAACTTTAAAATGCCATGAGGCATGAAACGTTATTCCAACTGAGCAACCGTGTTGTTAAATAACTGCTGGATGTATCAATAGGCAACTGTTTTCTAACAGGTTCCATTTATCAGCGCTTTTCAAACGGCCGCATAGTTAATCACTGAGGCCTCAGGCCACCAGACTCACGTATACATGTTCCTGTGTTTTGATGGAAAAAACACATTGTGTAGAGTGATTACTGTGACCCTGTTAAAGTAAAACATTTGATTTATTTTCTAGTTTCCCCACACAAAAGTCTGAATCGGGATTCTTATTTATAAAGGTTCAGAATCGATTCTCAAAGGTTCAGAATCGATTCCAAGAACTCAAATATTTGGCACGTTACAGGTGTGAGATGCACTTTTTTGATCTTTGTTAGGAGAGTCAGTACTCCGTTTACTTTTGTGGTCCCATAAATTGAGATGATTTATGCTTGAATCTGCTGATAAGAGGGCACTTGAATGTCATTTTTTCCATACTCAGAAATTTGAGATATTCTCATATTTATTTTCTAAGTTGACAAATGAGTACTCAGGATTACTCATGTAACTTGTTTCTACACATACTTGACAAGTATTTGACCGTATTACTTTCAAAGCTACTGTTGGGTAACTACAGATTTGTTATATTTTACAAGGTAAGCAAAAATAAATGTTGCCTTTTGGTCAAAAGATTGTTTCTGTTTACAGTTTTAGAATCACTTTATTTTACATTGTAAATTAGCGTTTTTGGAGCATGACCAGTTTAAAGAACGAAACGTTGCAGGTAAATAAAACCTTTCTGTGTTTAATAAAAACAACTAAAAGATGGAATTAGAATTTCAACACAGCAAGAACACACCAAGGAAGTTACGTATCAGTTTGGCCTGTTTATTGAATTTTACTACAATAATTTCCGTCTAAAAAAGGTTGCTAATATCGCCTGGATGAATGTATCGCAATGTATCGTCTCTCCTGTATTGTGATACGTATCGTATCACCAGAATTTCACCGATACACATCCCAATCGGGTGTATAATCTGGATTTTATACGTGTCATTTTTAGAAATATAATGTTGATGACCTCACCATCACAGCACTGACAATCTAGTGGAGTCTTGAACCCTGGCTTGGGAACCACTGCTCTAATTTGTCTTTATAACTACATTTGCTGATTAGTTTTCTTTTTTTTTTTTTAGAAAGGAGATCAGTGACACTCATGAAATTTTCAAAAGGGGGCATAAAACTGTAATAATATAAAACAGTGTTTAATGTTAACTAATTGTATCATACGAAGCATCAATAATTACACCACCATGCCCAGCTTCTGCATCTGCAGGACATTTTGTCTTTGTGGAATAAATCATTTTTATAGTCTAGGCAAAACATAAATTACAGCATACAGTTAATCTATGATGCTGCTTGCCCCCAGAGGAACATAATAGAAAAAACTCCTGCATAGTAAAGTCATTTCAGTGTGTTCCAACCTTGAGAAGAATTTATTAACAACTCTACTCTCTTACAGTCCCGTGATGCACCGAGCGTCTTCAAGACAAAAACAGCAAAGGAAGTCCCGAGGGCAATAATCACAGGTATAATTCATTAGTAGGCAACATTACCTCATCTGATGTCAAAGGGACTGTGACGGGTTCTCATTGTGCACAGAAAAATTACAATGTCTTTTTCTGCCACCTAAAACAGTTACAGTAACGTAAAGAAATTGTTCCAAAGCTAGCAACTACAGTGGGGCAAAAAAGTATTTAGTCAGCCACCGATTGTGCAAGTTCTCCCACTTAAAATGATGACAGAGGTCAGTAATTTACATCATAGGTACACTTCAACTGTGAGAGACAGAATGTGGAAAAAAATCCATGAATTCACATGGCAGGATTTTTAAAGAATTTATTTGTAAATCAGGGTGGAAAATAAGTATTTGGTCAATAACAAAAATTCAACTCAATACTTTGTAACATAACCTTTGTTGGCAACAACAGAGGTCAAACGATTACTATAGGTCTTTACCAGGTTTGCACACACAGTAGCTGGTATTTTGGCCCATTCCTCCATGCAGATCTTTTCGAGAGCAGTGATGTTTTGGGGCTGTCGCCGAGCAACACGGACTTTCAACTCCCTCCACAGATTTTCTATGGGGTTGAGGTCTCAAGACTGGCTAGGCCACTCCAGGACTTTCAAATGCTTCTTACGGAGCCACTCCTTTGTTGCCCGGGCGGTGTGTTTGGGATCATTGTCGTGTTGGAAGACCCAGCCACGTTTCATCTTCAAAGCTCTCAATGATGGAAGGAGGTTTTGGCTCAGAATCTCACGATACATGGCCCCATTCATTCTGTCCTTAACACGGATCAGTCGTCCTGTCCCCTTAGCAGAAAAACAGCCCCAAAGCATGATGTTCCCACCCCCATGCTTCACAGTAGGTATGGTGGTCTTGGGATGCAATTCGGTATTCTTCTTCCTCCAAACACGACGAGTTGAGTTTATACCAAAAAGTTCTACTTTGGTTTCATCTGACCACATGACATTCTCCCAATCCTCTGCTGTATCATCCATGTGCTCTCTGGCAAACTTCAGACGGGCCTGGACATGCACTGGCTTCAGCAGCGGAACACGTCTGGCACTGCAGGATTTGATTCCCTGCCGTTGTAGTGGGTTAATGATGGTGATGACCTTTGTTACTGTGGTCCCAAATACTTATTTTCCACCCTGATTTACAAATAAATTCTTTAAAAATCCTGCCATGTGAATTCATGGATTTTCTTTTCACATTCTGTCTCTCACAGTTGAAGTGTACCTATGATGTAAATTACTGACCTCTGTCATCATTTTAAGTGGGAGAACTTGCACAATCGGTGGCTGACTAAATACTTTTTTGCCCCACTGTATACTTACAGCTTGGAGACAAAAAAAGAAGCAATAATAAGAGATGCCAATAAAGTTCTTGAGGTATTTATTCGAAAAAAATGAAGTCCTGGCAAATTGATTTGAAGATGATTCATATCAGAATGCCAACGGCAACAAACCTACCTCCAGATTGTGCTCAAAGTGGCTGAGGGTGCCAATCGGGTTTCTGGAGTGCAAGTCTTCCAAGTAGTCTCTGTACGACTTCTCTTCTTTCCTCAGCAGACTCTCTCGTGTCATCTCATAAGTCCAAGAAGGTCGTCGTGGGAACCCAAGACCTGAAGATGAATATTCATAGCTCATCATGTAGGGTGGTGTTCCACAGCATTAAGACAACTCTGCTCATCTACTGGGCTTATGACAATAATGCCAAAAGGAAGGAGTACAAAACAACCAGACCTTTATCTGGCGGGTAGATGTCATTGATGTCAACTTCAAGTTCTTTGTCTGAAACGGGCTGCAGCACAGTGTCCCTGGCCAGCTTCTTCCTCCTCTCCACCTCCTCCTTACTCTCTTTCTCAAAGTGCAGTCGGAACCTGAAAACAAGCAAGCAAACAAATCAATAAATAAAAGTTTAGGTATTTCTTTAGCTTTACTGGATTCACGAGTGTTTAAATCTTCATGATAACAGAGAAGTTTGTAAACAACTGGGGTGATTGTGAAAGCCAAATTAGAATAAGTTAAATCTAGACCATCTCCAAGAACGCAGTCAGCTTTTAATGACAGCCACTGTACTTTAAAGTAACAAAACAAAACAGACACAATCTAATCGACAATTATCAACGTAGTAATTTACAAAGCAACATCCTTTAGGATGATCTCTGCCTTTTTTATTTACCTCTTTCTGTCAGTGGATATTATAGCTTCTTGTACAAGTAAACTAAGCAGCAAAAACTCCCAAGATTCAAAAAAAAAGTTCACACCAACAACAAAGCACAACATCATAACTTCCTGAAATATCCTATGAATATAGTTCAGCCTCTTATTTTAGTACTTATCAACTTCACCATCAGAGGTGTGCAAACTTTGCTGCCTATTCAGCAGTTTGAATCCTAAAACAAGCTCCCTCACACTCAGCCCTTGAATGTTCTCAGAGGAGAGCTTTGATCAGTGCTGAGTGCAGAAGGGTAAGAGAAGCGTTTATTTCTACAAATGCATACAAACTTCCCACTGGACCACAACAATACTGTAAAAAGGCATGAGGAATGAAAACGCACCTGTTTGGGTCATATCTGCCATCTCTGCTGAAGGGCTGCTGATTTATTCTTTTAACGTCTGTTGTCTCGCTATCTGAGGTGTCTGACTGACGCTCTCCTCGCTCCAAGCTAGCATTTCTGCTGCTTGGACCAGAACCGGTGTCACCTGGCAGACATTCAAGCATTAGTGTACATCAGAAAACTTTCTATGTGGGAGCTTTCCAACCAGTTTTTCAAACAAAAAAATAAATAAATGATAATGATACAGGAATGGGAAAAGCATTCCATGGTGGATATCTGTCACAAGCCATTATCAATGTCAAATAATCATAAAAATGTGACAATTTAGTAATTTACTAATATTGAACATACATTTTTATTCATTCATTCATGTTTTCTTTAACAAAGCTCTTGGAGTTAAATTCAAATTAGATTTGAATTTGATTTAGAGCCTATTTTCCCCTTTATTTTAGAGAAAATAGCAGAAATAAACAAGAGGAGAAAATCTAGAAAAGGAAGACTTCACAGAGTTGATGGTAGAAAAACATGTGAGGTGACATTTTCAGTTTGTTTATAGTGAACACAAAGGGGATTTACTGAAAACTGCAATTGTCTATTGTTATAATTGAAGAATAAGTATAAATAGTATCAATATGATCATTAAACGTGGATACGTTTCCGGAAAACCAATTAAAGTTACTTTCTAAATCAATGAGAGATGAGTTGTGCTACAAACACGAAAGCCAAAGACAGCTTTTAAACTCTTACAGTAAACTCAGATGTAAATCCGTAATCGTACCAAACTTTTGACTTTAATCTGCCCCACGGTCGTCGGTCAGTGTTAATGTTTGGGTCTAAAAGTTAAGAGTATGCATTATTAAACGCTGTAGTAGTGCAGCTTAAGTTTGTTTTAAAAATGAAAGATATGTCGTGTGTTTATGAGCAATCATACAAATGGATGTAAAGTAGCATAATGTGATGCCAAAACACTTTAATATTACAACTAACTGCGTGGACGCAGTATTTTATTAAACTGACCGTTTAGCTAACTGCTAACGCTAGCATGCTAACAAATGGAAATGTTCAGTTACCTCTCTTTCTCTCGCGTTTGACTTGTAGCTGTTTCTTCTTCTGCTTGTTGCTAAATGGCTTTTTCCGAGGCATGCTGAAAAATATGAAGGTAAATAAATATATTCTAACTAATATGCTGTGTACCGCTACCTCACGCAGCGTTATTTACATGAGTGAAGTTTCTAGACTCCCACACTTTTTTCAGTGACGCCATATCCACTGCAGACTGCGGAGAATTGTGGACGAAACCAAATATTTAGATACACAAAAATACTACAGAAACAAACTTTTGATACTAACGTATTTGCCTCCATTATGACGTACATGCTCCTAACAGAATTTAAAAGGTTAGAGACGTAATTACTTTGAAATCACTCAGATATGTTCGCAAGAAAAATAGCTTACACCCCCATACTCACTTGGTTCAGTCTGTTTTTGCGAACGCCTCACAAACGTGCACATTCCTTCAGACCACCAGCTTGCAATGCTACCAAAATGACCATAAAAAGAACTGGGCATCGCTTTATATATATATATATATATATATATATATATATATATATATATATATATATATATATATATATATATATATAGTGTGTGTGTGTGTGTGTACAGCCAGGCTTTTAGAATACCTAAGAATCATTTCACCTTTTAAGCAAAGCAAAAATATTGGACAAATTTTATTATATCACAATCAATAAAGAATGGCACAAACTTCCAATGTGTAAATATTTCTGTAAAGCAATTATAAGAATTTTTATTATGGAAGTTAAATAGCAAGAGTACATTTTTAAACATAACTTTTAGACATACACACAAAGCAGTAAACGGCATTACATGACATGATGTTGATCACGCCTCCCTTAAGGTAGTATGAATAGCCACAAACAAGCCTACATTTATTCTGTGGATTACCCCATCGGTATCATATACAATCATACTTTATAAACTGGTAGTATATAACTTTATATACTTGAATGCTATTTTTTCTGTCATAAAAAGTTAACAGCCTCTACATCCCTTTAAGGTTAGAATATTAAAAGCATGTACGTTAACCCACAGAAGAGGCAATAACACTGGTATAAAAACTGGAAGTCTGTATGAAAGTATAAAAATTTACTTTTACATATGACTGCCAATTGCAATCAAACAAAACAGCGAAAGATTGCTATAGTCAAAACGTAATTATACGGAAGAGCAGGAGGTGGTAACAGTAAAAAGAACTGTCTTTAAGACATGTCCTATCATAAAACCATCACTGTGATGGACTGGTATATACTTTATTGTAGCCTTTACATACATTTTCAAGTCATATGTACCAGCTCAGCAACAGGAAAACAAACCAAGCAAAAAGAAAAACCTACTAAACTCTCTTCAGTAAACTGAGCAGCATATGATTTGCCCGTCTGCCTCAAATCATAATCCAGGCACAGTCATGTTTTCCTAAGTTTTAGTACATTTTAAGTATTGCTTTAAATCTCTCCAGCCTCCATTTATCTTGAATTGATTTTAAGTCTCCCACATTTCCTCCAGACGCTCTTCTGTAGCCACCTCTAAGAGTTGAGGTGCTCTACTTGAATCGTGGATGTGGAGACAGTGAGAAAAAGGTCTTTGTGGGAAGTAAGATCAGCCACAGTGACTGGTTTGTAATGGATGTCCCCGGCAGACACGGTCTTAAACTGATGCAGGTCGAACGGACAGGGCGTGGTTTCTGTCTGGGGATAGCTGCTCTGGTTCTGTCCCTGCTGGCCTCCCCCTGCTGCTCCGCTCCCAGCTCTCCCGGGCCGACTTGATCCTCCATCTGCGCTTCCTACCCGGCCTTGAGCTTCAGCCTGGCCCTGGGCCTGGCTTTGGCTCCGCTGTGCTGGCTGTGCTGCCATGACAGCAGGCGCAGTCAACTGGTCTGGGTTGTGTTTCTCCATGTGTTTCACCAGATACGTCTCCTGAGATGAGGGGAGGATAGGTAGAGGGGAAACAGTGGTCACATGACTACACGGTGTAAAGTAGCGGCCAGGCGTCTGATGCCAGTGCTGCGACTCATAGTGTTTCATGTAGAAATGCTCTTCAGAAATGGACATTTGTCTTACTGAAGTATAAGTGCGGCTGCAAAGACTACACGAGTAGATCCGAGCGTGTTTGACCGTGTGTGTGGACATGTGCACCTCCAGGCTCGCCGAGTCTATGTATCCTTTATTGCAGTTGGGGCACTTGTAGGGTTTGTCTTTGTTGTGTTGACGTCGATGAGACTGAAAGGAGAAATCATTAATGGGAAAAAGAACATACGCACACAAGCTTAAAACGTGATACGGAACATTCGGTGACGGTAAGAACGCGTTACACGTAAAAAAGTGAACCGATTTAGATTTTTTTCACCTGTAAATTTGAGAGTTGCGTGAAGGATTTCTCGCAGCCCGGTTGGGTGCACTTGTACGGCCGATCTCCCGTGTGAATTCTGAATTAAAAATAATAATAATAATTAAAACACTACCACACACACACACACACCTATGTCCACAGACTCCTGTGACCTTAATGGAGACCAAACTTGACCGAAGAGGACGAGCAGTGGACGTACCTGCTGTGCTGCTGAAGGTGACTGAGCTGTCTGAAGCACTTCTCGCAGTACACACAAGAGTAGGGCTTCACGCCCGTGTGGATGCGGGTATGCTGAGCCAGGTAGCTTGAGTTAGCAAACGACTTCGTACAATGCGGGCACTTGTGAGGCTTTGACTCCGTGTGGCTCCTACAGAGGACAGAAGAGAGGGCGAGGAGGAATTAAAAACATAACCTTAAAACTAAATGGAGAAAAAATTATATTATTTTTCTTAATTTACCCAAAACGTTCCTCAAGAAAAAGCTATTAAAGCAACACTAAACTGTTTTTTTTTTTCACTTTAACCAATTCCTCTAAAAGGGTTCAGCGATTGTGTTAGAAACTATCAACTTCACATGGGAGAGCCCTCTGCTGTCCAGAAACAGCACTTAAAAGTTTTGAGGAGCGGGTAGGTGCCCTAGGAGGCACTCTTTACCTGCTCAGTGGATGTTAGCTATTTGTGCTAGTAGCTAATAACAGGCTAGCAGTTAGCTTTGTCAGTTCGCCAACTGTCAATAAAAACACAAGAAGACGACAAAAAAAGAAATTTACATTTTTGTTGGCATCATGGTGGACCCTGGAATTAAAAGTCAGATAATTATGTATTTGAAGGTTAAGCAAAGAGTTAAAACCAGAGTAAGAATGGGCACAACCTAGACTAGTTTGAGAGAGCTGAAGGAGGCTGTGAAATCACGGACTGATGGTGACCTGGCTTTGTTGCTATTGGACTTGTAAGCAATAATATTTTTTGTCCAACAGTGTGAATCTTTTGAATTCGTGGCTTATTTAGTGCAACTTAGCTCAGGTTAGTGTTAGCTCGTTATTAGCGCTAGATACAGCAGGCTGCTGCAGTGTTGTTTATGACAGCCATAACTCAGTTTTCAACCAGTGGCAGGGAGTAGCTGGAAACTGTTTAGTGTCACTTTAAACGAGATTTTAACACTTTCAGCTATTGTTTTCAAACTGATTTCAGTGGTTGACCCATAAAATTGAGCAGCTTCACATTGGACAGCACTCTGTCACCCTCTGCTGACCAAAAACCAAGTGTAACAGTTTTGTGGTTCAGATAGGAACACTAGTGGGAGGTCTCTGTTTTACGGCAATAGCTGTTAACTAGTCGATAGCTAATATAACAGCTATCAGTTAGCTTTGCCTACTGTCAATAAAAAGCACAAGAAGAAGAAGAGCACCATGCGGGACAGACGGGCTCTTCAGAGGGTTATACGATCAGCTGAGCGCACCATCCGCTCCGAGCTCCCTGACCTGCACTCAATCTACAGCAGGCGGTGCTGGACCAAGGCCAGGAAGATCGTGAAGGACCTCAGCCATCCAAATAACAGACTTTTCTCTCTGTTGAGGTCAGGGAAGCGATTCCGCTCCCTGAAGACCAACACAGAGAGGCTGAGAAGGAGTTTCTTCCCGCAGGCGATTCGATCTTTAAATCACACCACCACATAGTAAGTGCCCACACATATGGTTCTCACACACACCGAACAGTCTGGACTTTGCTTAAGCACAGTTGCACTACAAAGTCACTAAAATGTGGTTTGCACAACTCTGGACATTATATATATTTTTTTTCATTTCCATTTAATACTTGTTCAGCTGCTGTTTTGTACAGATATTTTTATTTCTTCATACAGTCTTATACATTTACATACTGTGTATTTTGTTGTACAGTTACTTTATTCTCAACTTCAACTTATATATATTTTATCTTATTCCTTCCCAGCTAAATTTACCTTTTATTCTAATTTGTATTGTATTGTGTATTTTGTTGTAAAGCTATTCTATTATTCAACTTTAATTCAGATATTTTTACCTTACTCTTTCCCAGTTAAATTGACCCTTCTTTCTAATTCGTGGTGTACAGTTATTTTATTTTCTAGCTATACAACATCATTATGGACCTCACTTACATCTGCACTGTTTAAAAATGGACTCCACAATTATCGACTTCTGTACTATTGAGGTTCTTTTTAAAATGTTTTTTCTAATTTTTATTCACCCTGTGTCTTATTTTTAGCTGTTATTTTTGGGAATTTTGTTGTATTTGCTTTTTATATTTTATCTGTGTTCGACATGTTTGTATAACGCCGGTTTAATTAACCAACATTTTTACTGTACAGCGCCTTATTTGGTTGTAATGCATTGTGAATGCGCTTTGTAAATAAAATTGGATTGGATTGGATTTTCAACCCTTAGGTCACGAGCAGTTGTGTAAGGCATTTCACTGCATTTCGTACTGTGTATGACTGTGTATGTGACAAATAAAAATTGAATTTGATTTGAAGAGGACTTTTTCTTTATTTGTTGACTTCATAGTGGAGCCTGGAAGTGAAAGTATGAGAGAGTAATAATGTCTTTGGATATGAAGCAAAGAGCTAAAACCAGAGTGACCATTAGCACATTCTACACTAGTTGAAGCTAAAGGAGGCTACAAAATCACAAAGTGATGATGACCTGGCTTTGTTGCTACCGGACTTGTTGGTAATACTATTTTTTTGTCCAACAGTGTGAATTTCTTTTTATTGGTGGCTTATTTTAGTATCAATTGGCTCGTGTTAGCATTAGCTCGTTATTAGCGTTAGCTACAGCAGGCTGCGGCAGGGTTGTTATTCAATAGTTGTAATTCTGCTGTAAACCAGTAGGAGGGAGAAGCATTCTCTTTTTGTGGATTTGTTTAAAGATGCAAGAGAAAGGAGTACTCTTATCAATTAAACATATTGATGGCATTAAATTAAAATATAAAAACATTTTCAGAACAGATGAAAAAAACTCAGTTTGACAATTTTCTATTTAGTATAGTGTTAAAATGATGCGCAACTCAGTAATTTTCCCTTTAAAGCATTTGATATCAACCAAAATCTTTTGGAAACAAAAAAAAATAATAATTCACAAATGCAAACAGCTCAACTCAATCGGATACAAAAACTCTGAAAATCTGACCAAAACAGACAAAAGCAAAGCGCGGCATTGTAGTAAAATATTTCTATCTCAGTCAGAAGGTCAAGCAAAACCAACAAAAAAATGCAATATGTTACTGAAAAGAGAGGAATAAGCCGCTATATATGATGTTTCTAACATTTGAACGTGTGCGTCTATAAATGGAGCGGTGTCGGGGAGAGAAAATGAGCGGAGATGCAGAGAATACAAAACATGCAAAAGCGTGTGAAGAGGAAAATCAGGATGCAAAGAGAATGCAGGAAAGCAAGAAGCACAAAGAAAAATAACAGATGAAGAAAGAAAAATGAGGAAAAGATTCTCACTCAGTTAACTGAACAAAACTACACTTTAATGTGCTTTCTGATTATGGGTTAAATATGAACTTTTAGAGGCTAAATGAAAGGTCTAATCTGAACTCTGAGCAGGTTGCTGGATGGAACATGCAGAATGTAAAAAGCAATCGTGCTCTTCTCCACTAAGAGGTGAGAAAACAGGAGTTCGGGCTCCTAAAATGGGACGTGGCAGAACAAGCTGAGAGGACAGCGAGTATAGTGCGGGCTAATAATGGAGGAAGAGAGGGGTCGGTGGGGTGGGGGGACTGCAGTACCGTGTGTGCTGCTGTAAGTGACTGAGCTGCCTGAAAGATTTCTGGCAGTAGGAGCAGGTGTAAGGCTTGGCCCCACTGTGGATGCGGATGTGCTGGGCCAGGTAGCTCGAGTTGGCGAACGACTTGGCGCAGTGAGGACACTTGTGAGGTTTGGCCTCTGTGTGCGACTTGGAGTGGATCTGCATGTCAGACTTACTGAAGAAGGTCGCAGCGCACATCCGGCACCTACGGGCGGAGAGAAACAGAAATGGGAGGGCGGGATGGAGGAACAAGAAAAGGGAAACGTACACAGAAAATAATTTAAAAAAAAAAAAAAAGGCAGGGAAGAAAAAATGTGAGAGGCAAGAAGAACGCAGTGAGAGGTAAGAGAAGCGTCATATGGGAGATTAAAAATAAATAAGAAAAAAAGATGAAATTAAACAAAACGTTCGACACATTCAGACAACACGGAGAGATAAAAAGGGGAAGTTTAGTGAAAACTGACAAGAGTGCAGATCATTTAGAAAGGGGAAGAACGTGCTGCATTTAAACAAATGATGGTAAAGGAGCAGGTGATGTTCAGAGTGTGCAGACTGACTACGAAGCAGTGATGCATCATCGATCAAACGTCGGCCACAAAGCAGCCACATCATGCAGGAGACTGTTACAGAAGGTGTGTAGCAGCAGTGATTATTCCAGCCAGAGGGAGCGTACGCAGCAGGGGGCGGGGCTTTTAAACCATACCTGTAAGTCTTAGTGGTGTCTTTGGGGCCGTGGTCTTCCTCTTCATTCGACAGCTCATAAGGTTCTCCAGTGTGACGCTGCAATGATGTAACCTACCCACCCCCCCAAAAGCAAAGTCATCATCAGTTTACTGCATCCCCCCCCCCACCCTTCCTGTAGTTACTGCTCTACCTGTCCACCAGGTGTCAGCTGTGTCAGTATTATCGTCTCACTTCCTGGTCCACCTACAGGTCCGACCCTGGACACCATTGTCGTCTTCCTCTTTCGCCCTCGTTTGGAGGGCGTTGGCATGACGACCACATGGGATGACCCATCTCCTTTTTTGTCTGGAACAAGATTGGAAATTAAAAAGTTTGTGAACGTCGACGATTATACGGATTGTGGATTTTATTTAGGTATACCAAAGACTCCTTGTATATTTTTTTCCCACAAGCTTAAAACTCAATTGCAAAAACCAAAAAAACAACACTTTTTAAAGAAAGTAGAAAGAAACCTTGTTTATTAGAAACACAACCACATGTCAACCCATAAAACAAGTCAATAACTGAAATAAAAGCCAACTTCCCATTTTCTTGTTTTCTTTAAAGAGCAAGTCACCCCCCAAATCAACTTTTTTTTGCTGATAAACTAAATAAACGAGTGTCTAATCGTGCTGCAGACACGTGTCGTCAATAATTTAGCACTTCAGTGCATCTTAGTTAAAATTTTAATATTCTGCCTAAAACTGGCAGTGTTGTGCCGTTGTCAGGTAAAAACTCTGCACTGTATTTTAATTTAAATCTGCCACTGCTATTGGCTAAGAAGTATGCTATGATGTAAACTGGTACATTATGATGTCACAATGCTGTCGTGAGCCTGAGTGTGTGTGTGTATTTGTTAGCGGCTCCGCTCTCTCGGTCTGCCAGGCAACAGCATTTGTTGCCTTTTTCAAACATGAAGTGGGAGTTGAGTTAGACTCTGGTAGAGGTTGACATGCTCTTTAAAGTTTGATGCTTAGATTTTCTCTCACAAACCTTTTCCCGAGGCTCAAACCCTGAACTAAACTGTTAAAATACGTAAAATCCTAAAGAAATGCCCCGTTTTCATTCACATACCGATTAGAGTTGATGCATTTGAGAAAAACGCTATGCAAGTCATAATTTTTATTAATGCGTTACATTAGGTATGCATGAACGTTTCACCTGGAGACTGGAGCGCTGAAACAATCATGGTCGTTGCTGGATGACCGGAGACAAACGACTGAGAGGAAGTGGGAGACACCAGCGTTCCCTGAGGAGTGGTAATTACCAGACCAGCTGCACGGAGAGCAACAGAGATGGAGAGAATTTGTCTGCTACGCAAAAAACAAACAAACAAACAAAAAAACATCTAATTTTGTTTAAAAAATTCATCAGCAAACGCATATTTCATGCTGAATGTGGAAGTATTGAAACAGCATTACAAAGAGGGTCTGCTAACAACGCAGACACAGATGTTCTCTTTGCCCTAAAGCCGCCCCGTTGGCAACATTTGTTCTCACCAGCTAAATCATTGAAACGCTCTGCTGTTGAGAGCCAGGGGCAAACTTCGGCGACGCTCTCCTCTGAAACCAGTAGTGGTTGTTGAGTCCACAAAACAGTGAATACCTGCCGCCATGATGCTCGTGGAGGAAACGGGCAACACCGTGATGTTCTGGGCGCCGTGAGAGGAGTGGACGTGTGTCGTGCTACTGGGCGGCCCGCCTCCATCTGCCTTTGCTCCGGGAGTCGGGATGGTGAGAAGCGCCGTTTGGTAGTGGGACGCTGAGGAGGGGGGGAATGAAGCGTTCTTCTCCTGCTGCTCTTTCACTTTGTTCAGGAACATGGCATTCTCGATCTGTCGGGGGGGGGGGGGGTAGGAGACGTAGTTTATACGTGCTCGACTAGGAGAAGCGATGACTTGCATCCAGTCGTACCTGTCCTGGCATGGTCGGCACGGGAGCCCAGAAATATGACGAGTTAAAATGAGAGTCCTCCATCGTTTCTAGAAAGAAGAAAAATGCAAGAACAAGATTTACAGAACTGCCAAACGAGACGAGAACAGTCAGACGGGACCCCGATGTTTTACTCGAATCAGTGCATCTCCTGTATTTTACAACCACGCGATCATCCAGGACCGAGTTCGTTCCAACCTTTCCTTCTCGGTCTGCTGGCTGTGATAAGTGTAAGCCTCCAGCCTGACGTTTATTTAACACACAGAAAGGGGAACTAATCCCTCACAACCTTCATGGCATGCCGTCTCTGATCATATCACAAAAAAGTATTAAGAGTGGAAATCACTTTCCTTCTTTTTCTGCTTTTGATGAAAGCTTTCTCCCCAGATAACCTGATCTCTTTGAGGTCTGGAATAACCTCGGCAGACAGCGCGGGACCATCTTGCACTTAAATGACAGAAAAGCGAGACTCGCGCTTCCCCAAATATACGAACCCCAATGATCTGTTTTTATGTGACCTAAACTCACTTGTTCTGTTATTAGTATTAATAATGGCTGAGATCAACCACAGCAGGACCCTGAAACTGAAGCAAAAATTACTTTAAGGCATCCGTCCACACACTTCTAGTGACATAAAAATGTCTTCATCCTCACTGGGGTCGCAGGAGCTGGTGTCTTGCTCCAGGGCGAGAGGCAGGGGGGCATGCTGGACAGGTCTCACACTTACTCACACCTTGGTACAATTTAGGGTCTCCAATCAACCTGATGTGCATGCACTTGGGTCCGCAGGATGAAGCCGGAGTACTCGAAGAAAATCCATACACGCACGGGGAGAACACGAAACTCCACGCAGGTGGGATTTGAACCAGCGACCTTCTTGCTGCAGGGCAACAATGCTACCAACTGCACCACCATGCAGCCCTTTCCTGTAATAAACCAGTAAGAACAAGGTGGGAACTGCATTGGTGAGCAAAACCGTTAATGTGGTGGTGGTCGGGGGGACAGGTGACATCTGTCAGTAAGCCCCAGGGCAGCTGTGGTTACGCTGTAGCTCATCACCACCTGTTTGTGCATGGGTGACTGACTGAATGTGTTGTAAAGCACTGGGGGGGGGGGGGTCTAGGACCCTAGAAGGCACTACATCAAATACAGGTCATTTACCATAAATAAAAGTAAAAATGACAGATAATAAAGATGTTCTTACACAAAACAGCAGCTTCACTTGATCTCTACGTTATGTTTGGCTTCTAGAAGGTAAAATATAAACATCCAGATGTGTTTTTAATAGGGATGCACCGATGGATCGGCATTTGATCGTAATCGGCCGATAGCGCCCCTATCGGTTTTGATCGGAATTTTCAAAATAGATCAAAGCAAACCGATCAGGTAGGGTTGTCACGGTAACCAGTGTAGAGCTAAACCCCGGTAAAAAAAAAAGTTGACAATAATAACCGTCTTGTTTTTAAAAAACTATATTATCTTGGTGGGATTACCGTGGCTGCGGTGTAGGCGCGGTGACCCTTACCAGCCACCGTATCATCTGCAGAAGTTGCCGGCGGCACATGCGCGCTTTGTTTACAACAAAACTTTCTTGAAGCTAAAGCTGAAATAATGGTCAAAGGAGGAGACGGCAGCGCTCAGCACATTTATTATCCCTCAAAGAAGACAAAGTGGGAAGTACGGGCATCTTTTGGATATTTGAAGAATGCTGAGGGACAGTTTATAGAAGACGGACGGCTATCCTGTTTGCAGCACGAGCAGAAAAAGTGTCTGTGAAAGGCAGCAATGCTTCAAATCTCATGACACATCTGCGTGACCATCACCCACAACTCTGCAGTCAACGCAAGGCAAGCTAACGTTAGCGTTTTAGCTAAAATGCGTGATCCGAGGATTTGGGTTGAGGGAGAATGCAACGAGTCGCTATATAAAGCAGCCGCAGCGCCGCTACCTGCATATAAACCGTGTCACGGACACCTCCATGCTGAAATGACGCTATGCATTACGGGGCTCCCAGGGGCAGATAAGAGTTGGTCTCTCTCCGAGAATAATTATGAATTTAACAATGATTACTGCCTGATGACATTTTCCCACATCTGCAAAGCTCACTGGAAGGACACAAACCGAGGACAATATTTTCCTGAAATACGGATTGCTCAAGTAAGGGTAAAAAAAAGTATCTGATTAGAAGGCTACTTGAGTACTGAGTATCATCTGATCTAATATTTTTAAAATGATGACATCAAACAGACATAAAATACGAAGTTATGGGCAAATATTGGTATTTTAAAGACTAAAGGGGAAAAATGTAAACAAATAAACAACATAATTACAAAATAACACATTTTAGGCAAAATTTAGACACAAACTGAGGACAATATTTTCCTGATATACAGGGTTTATTTAATTGTGTGAAAATGTAGCACGTTTAAAAAAAATACCGCGATATTACCGAAAACCGTGGTAATTTTGGTCACAATAACCGTGAGGATAAATTTTCACACCGTGACAACCCTAATACAGACCATTTTAGATTAGGTTACATTTCCTTTATTCCCAGATTATGTAGTTTGTAGCACTCATTATAATGTTGTAGAAAATTTCTGGCCAATCCACGTGATCGGTATCGGTATCAGCATTCTTTGATATCGGTATCGGCAGCAAAAAACCTGATCGGTGCATCCCTAGTTTTTAATTAACCAGTGACCTCTTGCATTCTCTCAGAAACGTTACTGAGCCACTAAAACACGCATCGGACCCTCTCTTATCTCAAACTTGGATTTAAAAGAACACAAACTTTTATATAATGATGCGTTTTAAATATAGTGCGTGGTTAAATCTACCGTAGATCAACCGCAGGGCTGCGTTTCATGTTGTGATCAGGCCTGTGCTGCAGACTAACATGCGGGGAGCTGAGTGTCAGTGCTGCTCTCGTGTCTGAAAGGAAAAAAATAACAAGCGAAGAAAAAAAACCGAAGGACAAAAAAACTGAAGCGGAGAAAAAAACACAGGAGACCATCCTCACAGACTTCCGGCAGTGGGGACGGTAGGAGAGGCCGCGGCGGAGGAGTCGTTTCTGTGATAAATTATAAGCGACAGCGTGGAGAACAGTGGCGTTTACCGGTACCGGAGACTCAATCCTCTTCTCCGGAGTTCCCAACGGTCCAAAAAAGCCGAATCCGGGGTCGAACACTGGTGAAATTCCCGTAGATCTACCAAGTTTCCCCCTCTCTCTTTTTTATTTTTTTCTTCCTCTGATTAGCCAGTAGCTTCAGCCAGAGCTCCACTTCCTCCTGACAGACAAAAGGAGTATGTGTTCTGACGTCACTTCCGGTATCGTATGCCTCCAAAAAGCTGAAAAAGCGACACGTCTGGTCTCCCGTCCCGCAGTGGTGATTTTTGTGAATTCTATCGTTTTTAAAGCAGTTTAGCTCGTTTTATTTTTGCAGCATTTGAACTTCTGAGATGATGCCTTCATGTTGTGTTGGAAATTTCAGTGCCCGGTCAGCACAATACAAGAGTCAGTCAGTACACAGTTGAAAACGAGTTTTGTCTTTTGTTTTGCTCATCTTGTTTAAGACGGGAAAAGAAGTCTAAAAAGCTGTTTAAAAAGTAAAAAAAAAAAAAAAGTTGCAGAATTATTTTTTGTTTGTATTTTATTTGCAGGATTATGCTCTGGGGATTACATTTTTGGATGTTTGTTAAACATTTGTCAAATAAAACAAATTTTCCTGTATTAGACAAACAATTAAATAACGGATTTATTTGATTTTCATATTTAAAAAAACTGTTTTTATATTTGTGTCCTAATGCATGTTTACACATGTTTAATATACTTTTTGGCCTTTTTATATTGTTACTGTTTAACTCTTAATGTGTAATGCTGCTGCTACACTACAATTTCCCAGCCTGTGATCAATAAAGTCCATCCATCTATACATACATACAAGTGTGCAGTGCCTACATGCAATCTGAATTACTTACAAATTATTTTCACCAGCTGTCTCTCATTAAACAGTGAATTTCCTTCAACAGACTCCTGTTAATCTCTCCTGGGGCTGGGAAAAGCTCCCCTGAGCAACAGCCAATCGAATTTGGTTGCTAGGGAGAACTACAGAAATTTTGGCCAATGCGCATAACTGAATGTAATATCTCAGGGGCGCTGGCTGATAGGGAGCCTACGCCCATCTACCTCTGGACCATGGGTCCCCTAACACATGTCTATGTCTCTTACTGCCAAAATAAATAAATGGGAGTCAATGGGCTGATTAGATATTTTCTCATCCAGTTTAAAATGTGTCAGATTTAACATGGCTGTGAATTCTAAAGACACATACTGATGCTAAAACACTTATTTTGGACAAGGTTTTGTGTGAACTTACCCACAGAACTCCAAAAGCACGTCTCACCAAATTTACATCACCAAACTAGACCAGGAGAATGAGAAGAAAAAAAGCTGTGAACTTAGTGAGCTTCACATCCTTCTTCCAGGATGAAAGGAGCATTAAACGTGGAGAAAACTACTAATCTGGCCATGTGGAAAGTGGCAGCTATGCTGAGGGTGAAGACATTCTACTGTGACATCTATTCAGTAACTTCTTATTTTGTAGTCTTTTAAAAAATATATTTTTTACAAGCTAAAACATCTCAAATTACGTGACAGACATAGTCCAAACACATGTAATTATTATTCATTGAAAAAAAATCCCATCTCACCCTCTGCGGGCGGTCTCATCCTTCCAAGCTCGGGTCCTCTACCAGAGGCCTGGGAGCTTGAGGGTTCTGCAGTATCTTAGCTGTTCCTAGAACTGCACTTTTCTGGATTGAGATGTTTGATGTTTTTCCTGGGATCTGCTTTAGCCACTCCTCCAATCTGGGGGTTACTGCCCTGATAACCACGGGCACTACTGATGTCTTCACTCTCCAGGCTTTCTCAATTTCTTCTTTGAGGCCCTGGTGCTTCTCTGGTACTTTTCCTGTCTTCCTTTTTCCCGATGTTGCCATCGCTTGGTATTGCTACATCAACCACAACGGCTGTCCTCTTTTGTCCAGCACCACAATGTCCAATTGGTTCGCCATCACCATATTTTTTGTCTGGCTCTGGAAGCCCCACAGGAGCTTGGCTCTCTTGTTCTCTACCACCTTAGGGGGTGTTACCAACGTTTACCTTGTGGCTTCCAGTCCATAATCTGCACAGATGTTCCTGTACACGATGCCAGCTGCTTGGTTGTGGCATTCCATGTATGCTTTCCCTGCCAGCATCTTACACCCTGCAGTTCTGTAGTGGATTGTCTCAGGGGCCTCTTTGCATAGCCTACACCTTGGGTCTTGTCTGGTGTGGTAGACCTTGGCCTCTTTTGCTCTGGTGTTCAGGGCCTGTTCCTGTGCAGCCTCTGTCCTGTCCTTCAGACCAGATCTTTCTAGCCATTGGTAGGATTTCTTGATATCAGCCACTTGGTACATCCCATTTAGGGGTTTGTCTTCCCACAATGGTATTTCCAGTGTCTCCTCCTCTGTTCGCCATTGTCTGAGAAATTCACTGAGCATGTCATCTGTTGGGGCCTTATCGTTGATGTACTTCTGGATCTTGGAAGTTTCATCATGGACAGTGGCTCTCACACTCACTGGTCTTCGGCTTCCTTCCTTACAGCTAGTGTACACTTTCATGGTGCTGGATTTGGGATGGAACCCTCCATGCATGGTTAGGAGCTTCCATGTTATAACATATGTGGTCTGCCTTTCTTCCTTTGGCCAGCTTATTATTCCTGCAGGATTTCTGATTCCTAGCAGGGCGTAGCTGTTTATTGCCTGGATCTTGTTCTTGCCATTGATCTGACTTCTTAAGACTTGCCTTACTTGTTGTGTGTATTTGGCTGTGGCTCCTTTCCTTGCAGCTTCATCGAGGGTTGAACTACATATATATATATATATATATATATATATATATATATATATATATATATATATATATATATATATATACATATATATATAAAATTATTATTTTTTTTAATATTTTTTTTCTTTGTGGGCTACACAATGGCTAGCGCTGTTGCTTAGCAGCAAGAAGGGCCCAGGTTCAAATCCTGGCCTGGGGTCTTTCTGCAAGGAGTTTGCCCACTCTCCCTGTGCACGCGTGGGTTCTCTCCGGGTACTCCGGCTTCCTCTCACGGTCCAAAAACGTGACTGTCAGGTGGACTGGTCTCTCTAAATTGTCCTTAGGTGTGTGTGCATGCTTGGTTGTTTGTCCTGTGTGTCTCTGTGTTTCCCTGCGATGGACTGACAACCTTTCCAGGGTGTACTCCGCCTGCTTGCCCGAAAACTGCTGGAGATAGGCACCAGCCTCCCGCGACCCAGTGTGGATAAGCCAGTATAGAAAATGGATGGATGGTTTTTTTTCTTTGCTTTTGATAACCAACTATGGTGACTAAAAAAATGTTATTTTGTAGATGAATAAGTAATGAGTAAGAAAACTACAAGCCAAAAGAAGTGTAATTGAAGGTGTTTATTTTTGTCTTTGAGTATTTGTTGTTGATTGTGGAAAAACCTCATTAACTTTTGACTCAATTGCAATTTTGTTATTTTATGCACGTGAAACTGCAACTACGGCAAAGACAAAAACTAAACATTGAATTTATTGTTTTATGTCAAATCACAAACTGTCCACAAGGTGTCGCTGTGGGAACAGTTAAACACGTTTTAGCTCATCGTCAACATCCGGCGACACGTCTCTAGACACAACGCAAATCCGCCAGAAGCATCTTTACTTATTTATGTCTGAAGGAGACCATTAATCTCCAGACATGTCGTCCAAGTGATGTTTTCTGAACGTTTAATAATATTTTTTTATCTGTAGCTGGCCTCCGTGGCTTCAGGAAACGGTACAGCTTCAAATGGGGGAAGTGAGGAAGTTGCAGAAGAAACTGAGACAGATTGAAAATCTGGAAATAAAAATCAGTCTCACAACTGAGGAGAAACTTAAGGTACAGAAACACTTCATCTGCCTTTTCCTGTGAATGTTACCTGTGTGTGTGCGTGTGTGTGTGTGTGTGCGTGTGTGACTGGCAAATCCCAAATAAATTTCCCTAGATGCAACAATAAAAGGTAGCCTGGCAAGCCAGGCTAAATACAAGCTGGTCTTGTTCACTAGGCTAAGAAAAAAGCAGATCGAGTTAAAATTAAAACCAGCACAGATTTATACAAAATGATGTCTGGAAGACGCTGCTGGGCTGCACACGTGTGGCTAAATCCTTGTTATATCTGAAATAACAGTGCTGGCTTCATAAAGGCGGTGATTAACATGAATTAATAATGGTGCCATGAATAATTTGACAGTTTTTGCTCTGGGATCTGAGCAGATCAGATCATCACACGCCGAGGAGAGCACATCAGGAAAAATAACCATCAGGAACTTCAAAAAAAGCCTTTTTTGGGTTAAAGGTCACAGGCTGAACGTTGTAAAGAAGAAAAAACCTTATTTGTCTCGGTGCTGCTCCCGGAAAATGAAACTGGGAAGAGGATAAACCCACGTGATGGAGGTTACTGAGAGAATTTTTAATTCAGATCATGTTTTCTCAAATATTCTGTAGACAGAACCACACAACTAACCAAATACTGCAACGATATATGAATACTTGTCATATTTTTCCATTTATTTTTTAGACATGTCGGACTTAATAGTAAATGCAGCAAATTTTATTCATTTTCAGACTTAAAGACCAAAGGATTTATCAGACAAAGTTGCATTTATAGTTGTGCACTGAGTTAGAATCCTATCACATTAGATGCATAATGAAAACATGACAGTAGCAAGTTTTATTTTCTAGAAGAATTTGTATTTTTCGTTTTTACTGAGGTCAAAAAGGGGCGATAACTGGAAGTAATGTGTATTATTGCAGCAAGCAGTTAAATAATGCAGTCCAGTACTTTTTGGTGACTCGTTGTCTCTTTTCTGTTTGTGTTTTGCAGCCTCAACACTGTTTAAGAAATTCTTACAATCAGTGAAAATTAGACTTTAAATTTTAGGATTTAGCGACTAAACTATAAAGTTGTTAGAAACATTTTTATCTTCTGTTTTAGTTTGTAGACTCTGGGCATCATCCCTGGACGAAACAATGTGCTCAGGATAAATTTATTTAAAGTCAGGTTTAAGAAAGATTTGACCCTTTTTACAATTTTTTTTTATGTCTTTAGGTCTAAATGATATGTTTTGGTGAGGATTACAACACCTAATTAGATCACACAGCTTGTGTTTTCAGCTGTTCTCTTCTCAGCTGATTTAAGCATCACAGCAAAACGACTGACACCACTTTTTCCTGCATGGAACATGTTTTTGACGACATCAAGTGAAATTTATATTTTTTATGAGCATTTGCAGTAAATAAACCTTGAATGGATACTAGCTTGCTTTTACCACCCGCTAGTGTCTAGTTACAAAAACCAAAAGTGAAACTCTCCTCGCTGTGCGTTCGTCTTTTTAACACCTTCATCTAACAGCCGAAATGTCTCCTCAGCCTTCATTAGTTTCTACAGGAGCGGTTCATCACTGTCATGAAGGCAGGAAGCAGACTGCAGCACCAGGCATGTCAGCTCCACTTTACTAATGGGCCATTCCCATCTGTACCGGGTCGGCCCGGGCCGGGCAGCGTAGGTTGTTTACATATCTGGGTGGCCTGGTATTTTCCGGGCCAACCAAGGCTCATTCTCAGCCCTCTTCTCGAGGGGGTCTGCTTCAGGCCGACCAGGGCCAACACACCCACTGCTGACAGCAAATTCACACCTTCCATTAGAGCAAGCCTCTGATTGGTGGGTAGAATCAGCCCACATGGGCTTAAGGCAAGGATGTGTGGAATCAACCGGGCCAGGCTGGGGCCGACTGGGGCTACCCGGCCCGGGCCGACCCGGTACAGATGGGAATGGCCCATAAGTCCATCAAGGACCGGCCCGGCTACTCTGAAGTTGCAAGTGCGGTATTCTGGCCACAGGGGACGGTGGGGTCTGAGGGACATTTTAACAACCCTGTAAAGCAGGGATGTTCAAACCTTTAAAACTCCGAACGGGCCACAAAATTTGTATTTTATTTTAAGAATTTATATTTTTCATTTGTTCTACTAAAAAAAAGGCCTAAAATAGATATGATAAATGACCCACACTTGTATAACACCTCACAGAGTAAGGACTCCAGGGCGCTTTACACTACAGTGTATCATTCATCCATTCACACACACATTCACACACTGGTGGTGATGAGCTACGATGTAGCCACAGCTGCCCTGGGGCGCACTGACGGAGGTGAGGCTGCCGAGCACAGGCGCTGCCGGTCCCTCCGACCGCCACCAGCAGGCAACATGGGTTGAGTATCTTGCCCAAGGACACAACAGCAGAATTCTCTGTCCAGAGCCGGGATCGAACTGGACAACCCGCTCAACCTGTTGAGCTACTGCTGCCCCCATATATTAGTAAACATTTGAACATCAGATATTTAAATAAAGGATTTTATATCAACAGCCTCCTGGAGACACTTAATTCCACAGATTTAAAAACGCCAATGAGGGCCGTGCAAAATCACTCCGAGGGTCGCAAATAGGGATGTCCCGTTCCGATACCGGAAGTAATTCGATATCGGCCCAAAAACACGGTGTCGGATTATATCGGACTGCACCAATAATCTCTTGATATAATCTGTCCATTAAGGCTCACATTTTCAACCATGTTTTTCAACTGTTATTGGCTCTTGTTCTCTGATTGAGTGATATCACTTGGTCAAGGCTTTCATACACTCCACACTACAAAACAGGCAAAAATATGTATGATTTGTGCTGATATCGGTATCAATCAGTACTGAAGGCTGCATTATCGGTATCGGAACATCCCTAGTTGCAAATGGCCCCCGGGCCGTACTTTCAACACACCTGCTGTAAAGGGTCATTTTCACACATACTGCCTCAAGACAATGATTTAGAAACACGGAAAAGTTGTGTATGGCTTTCAGACAACAGCAAAACACCAAATGTTTCCCATTTCGGAGGGTTTGCGAGTTAAATTTGGGATTATCTCACTCCAAGTCCTAAATTCTCCCCCCAAAAAAAACATTTTCTAATCTTGGAGTTTCTGAATTGTTGCAGAAAGTAGACACACGCTGGCTTCAAGCTTAAAATAACCAACATATGGATTTTCTTCTTTATTAAACACAATAATAATACAGACATGATTTTTAGATAAAAGATTCACAGTATACCTCAGCGGGTGGCTGGGGCCGTGTGTCGTTGCCATGACGGCGTCAGCATCACCACTAAACAGCGATGCAGAGACGCTCTTGACTCATAAACTGTGTAAGGTCGACGGAGAGCTGCTTTAACAAAGAAAACAAACGCTTGACATCCGACTCGCTCAGGCATGCATATTTCAGCGTTCTCAATCAGACAGGAACACAGGGCTAGCTGTGAGCTGCAGCCTAATCAGGGAAGACGGGGCTGAGTGATCAGCTTGTGCATGTAAACAGGAAGATAAACAACTAGTGGCTTCGGCCTCCCGCTTTTACAACCGAGCTCTTGACTTCTCCTTCGTCAGATCTCCAGGAAGGAGGAGCTGCGCACCAGATTGGCCGAGCTTCAGCTGCAGCTTTCTGGCCCGGAGCAGACTCTTGGGATCGTGGGAGACGGAAAGAAGGAGAAGATGAAAAGACAAGTGTAAGAAAGTGAAGGAGGGGTGTGTGTGTGTGTGGAAGCAACAACATTCACTTCGAAGCCTTTGATCTTTTTTGTATGTCTATCCAAACACACTGGAGGTCAAAGACTCGCGTGCTTTCATAAAAGGGAAACTTACTACGGTTTGTGTCATGTAAACATCAATCAGTGATGTCATCCTCCCCGTTTTAATCCCTCAGAGCCTCATAATCCAGCACGTGTGGACATGAAACCGAACGACCTGTAAAACAGCCAGACCGCATGCTTTTGTTGTTGTTTTCTTTGTTTAGTGTGGGACTTGGAGATCCTCCACAGGTATTCTAGTTGTCACAGGATGCCGTGTGCCTCCTGCATCTTGATTATTCATTCGGCTCCTCTTTCCTGCACTGGCACAGGGAGGATGCCCTCGAGGCCCTTCCATCACAAACGCCTCCAGCCTCCAAGATCCTGAAGGGAGAAACGGAGTCCAAATCTCTGTCAACACCGGCTGCCAGGCAGAGGAAGGCAGGAGGGGACGTGGCAGAAGCAGGCGGACTGCAGGACGGGACGGCGCCGGCCAAGGTGTCACATCAGAGAGGAGACGAGTGGGGAGGCTGTCCAGACTCTGACACGGAGCAGCAGCTGCGGCAGGAAGGTGGGCTAATGAGCAGAAGTGACTGAGGACTCTGTCATTACACCTGTTAAAAGTGCAAAGCAGCTCCCTGATTTGTGAACAACACCTCAAACCGGATTACAGATGTATGCCCTGAGAAGTCCGAACAAGCTCACACGGAGGCCGGGATAAAAAACAAACAAAAAAAAAAAGCCAACTGGCTGCGTTTGCCTCCCTAAAGGCAGGGCCCGCGGTTGGCATCCACGGAGCTGATTTAGCCCCACGCTTTGCAGCGCCGCATTAATCCATAATGAAGAACCGTGTAGATTAACGAACCGGGGCGCTGATGAGTCAACAGTGCTAATTGCACAAATCTTTTTTTAACAGAAGCCGAGTTTACGTCCCTGAAAGCGTCCTGGGAGAAGGCGAGGTTCCGCTTGAGGCTGCTGGAGGGTCACAATGACATCGTCACCTGTGTGGTTGCTGTTGACAACCTGGTGGTTTCTGGAAGGTAAAGCAGCACATTATTTGCATGATGGATGCACAAAGTGAAACATTCCACCTAATTTACCGCTCGAGGGGCGCCGAACCCCTTCCCGATCTCGACCGTTGGCATTTTCAGTTCTAACTTTGCTCCTTTCCAACATTCCCGCTCTCTTCTTCATCCGGTGCAAGCCGAGACACGACGGTGAAGGTGTGGCACGTTCCCACGGCAACGGAGATGAAGAATCTGGGGGGTCACACCGGCGGAGTCACCTGTCTGTCTGCACCTCCTCCCGAGTATTGCAGGAGGCTGGGTGAGTGGGCTCGGACGCAGCGGAGCAGCGCGTGTGTGTCCTGCAGGCGGGTGATTATAGGAGCCGTCCATCGGATCAGCTCCAGTGAGAAATAACCTCAGTAGGCACTTTAGAGAGTCCGCTGTCTGTTTGGAGCAGGCGGCGTTCCATCATTGGACTTCCGGCTCATACACCCCCCCCCCCCCTGCTTCTTCTTAACATCACCAGCGCTGCTCACCTCACCTTTTCCCTCTTCTTTACAATCAGGATTGTTTTTTTGAACTCTTATTTATTATTAAAAGGTGAAAAACAGTGTAGTTGTCCTCAGGAAGGAATCATACCAGCTCAGTGGCCTAGTGGTAGAGTGTCCGCCCTGAGACTGGGAGATCAGGGTTCGATTCCTGGTCGGGTCATACCAAAGACTTTGAAAAATGGGACCCAATGCCTCCCTGCTTGACACTCAGCATTAAGGGGTTGGATTTGGGGGTTAAACCACCAAATGGTTCCCGAGCGCGGCTGTCTGCAGCTCACCGCTCCCCCAGGGGATGGGTCAAATGCGGAGAACAAATTTCGCACACACACCTGTGTGTGTGACAACTAATGGGACTTTAACTTGAACTTTATTTCTCACCTTTGCCCCCCTCGCCAGCCCGGTCCCTGTCTCTGTCCGACAAAGAGAGGTTCGTTTTGAGCGGCTCTGCGGACTGCTACGTGAAGATCTGGGCCCTGAGCATCGGTTCGTGACCCACGCTCACACCCGCAGCGTTGGAAACACGACGGCCTTCGTCGATCCAATAAACGAGTGCTTTGTTGTTTCCTTCAGGGCAGTGCGTTAAGTCCGTCTACACGTTCAACGCCGTGACCGGGCTCTGCTTCGTGCCAGAGGGGGACGGCTACATCGCCACCGGATCAGGTGCGTTTCTGTGACACCTGATAGTGGGAGTGACAGACTGACGTGCTGCAAATATACCGTGTCAGTTTCCGCACACACGTGCGTCACGTCGTAGCGTAGCATGGTGCTACCAGGCGGAATCAGCCGCCGAGCTCAGATGTGCCAACCGCGACAGAACGATAATGACTGCCAGACGCCTGTCATCCCACGTTAACCTCACACTCTGTCGCCCTGCAGACGGAGGGAAAGTTCAGGTCTGGAGCTGGGACACTTTCCAGAACTGCCAGTCAGTCAACGCTCACCAGGAAGCAGTCACCTCCCTCCAGGTGCGTGGGTCGTCCACCTGTTGACACCTTCTCCACACGCCGGGTGCTCAAGCCGTTTGTATTTTCCACTTATTTTTTAAACGTCTCGTGGCTTTCACACTCCCAAAGAGAAAACAACGCTCGGAGAAGTCAGACGGGCGTATCCCTCCCTTTTTATCACCACTCAGGCTTCCTTTCTTTATTTCTTTCAAATGGGGACAAAGATGCGTTCTGCCGTCCAATTTTAGTGCATTCTGTTTGTTTTCATCAGCAAAAAGGGGCTTTTATGAATACTGAAACCCAGAGCCACATATGCACATTTTCTCTTTTCAGTTTGCAACCATCATCACGTGCCTGAAGCATTAAAGCAGCACACATTCATTTTCACCCTCTTTGTTGTTTATCAACACGCCGGAAATATTCAGAGCACGTTTTATTCTTTTTGACAAACTTCCACGCCGTCTCCATGCTGACACACGTGTAAACACACAAACACGGTGGGGAAGGACTCGGATCGCCATGACAACCGTGTTTCTCTTGCCCGCCGCAGTCTCAGGGTCCACTGGTGTTCAGCGGCTCGGCCGAGGGAGGGGTGTCGGTGTGGGAGAACCGGTGCTCGGATCGAGACCCCCTACGGCTGCTGCACCACTGGAGCGGCCAGGTGACGGGCTTGGGCGGGGGCTGCGGCGGGCGTCTGGCTCTCAGCCCACGGGGGGACCGAGTGCTCCTGGCGTACGGTCGAGCCTGGCTCAAGATCCTCCACTGGAGGACGGGTGAGCTCTGGACACAGATGTGGGAGAAATCTGCATAAATCCTCCTCCTAACATCTGTTTCGTTATCACAGGAGAAGTATCCAGGCTGACCAATCACAGCAGCATCACCGGGGTAACGGACTGTGTTCACCAGACAGGAGGCCTCCTAATTGGCTCCAGCTATGACCTGGCTAACGGAGAGAGCACGCTTAATTGTGAGTAACCAGTGTGCAGCCAGGAGCCTCTCTCTCTCTCTCTCTCTCTCTCTCTCTCTCAGAAAAAAAGACTTAAGTCCAAATTGAAACCACTCGGTGTTCCTCTGCTGGCCCCCAATCCTTTAATCACCTGTTGCCCTCTTCAGTGTTCTCTTTGCCTCAGTGTCGCTACCTGGCCTCTCTGACCTGGCCAAAAGCTCCCAGAATCCTCTGCTTCGCAGCATGGACCACCGGGAGCGGAGACCACCGTTGGGTCACTGGAGGACGAGACCTGATCGTTTGGGAGCAGCTTCCAAGTTCTGGGAAGCAAAGGTAAACATAAAGGTTTCATTTCAGCTGCATTCGTGGTCGACGCTTTAATACGTTCCAGTTCCAACACCTGTGTCGGTTCCGGGTCTTAGGGGTGATGTCGTCGTGAGGAGAGACAGCCGGATGGACTCGTGCTTGTTGGAGTCAGAGGGGGACACCGAGGGCGATGAGGACACCGATGGTACAGACGTTTGTAGATTTAATGTGTTGTTACGTGTTGTAACTGCAGAACCAGTCACACACGTTTCTCACACACACACACACACGCACGCACGCGTCAGCTCTATTAAGTGAAGCTTGTGTGATCCAGATGATGAGGATAACGACGAAGGAGAAGGAAGAAGTCCGGACAGCGAGGAGGACGGAGGCTCCGGCTCGTGGCTGCGGTGTGTCCTCCAGTGAGCGTCCGTCTCCCCGGCCTGCAGCCATGGAGAGGAAATGAGAGGGTGGCAGAGCGGAGCGGAGCGGGCGGAGGAGGAGGGTGAAGTGACAGACCGAGTGTTAGTCTGGGAGGAGGTGGAGGGGAGGGGGACATACGGGCTGGGAGACTCTTTGATGGGAGTGTGTGTGTGCGTGTGTGTGTGAGTGTGAGTGTGTGAGATGGCCAGATTGTTTTCTATGTAAATATTTTCACATTCAATAAAACGCCACACTGTGACTCAAAAATTTGCATCTCTTGCCTCTTTTTTTTTTGTCTCTGTGACCCTGACCACACACACACACACACACACACACACACACACACCTGTTTGCTGTCTCATTGCTGCTTATTCATAAACACCAAGAGTTCTCTCTCTCTCTCTTTTTTAACCTCGCCTCATGATCGGATCGCTTCTATTTGCCTCGTCAACTTTCTTCTCTCATCCTCCGCGTCCGTCTAATTGAACCCATTTAAGAAAAAACATAATTAGCATTTAAATCTCTTTCTTACAGTCTATTGCCCTCCTCTTCATCGCTCGCTCTCCCTTTGCTCTCACTCTGGCAGACTGCATGTCTCAGTCGCTACGGCAACCAATGCTTCCCCCCCCCTCCTCTCTCCTTTTGCTCTCTATCTCCCCTCATTTCTCTCCATCTCCCTCTCTCATTCCCTCTCTCCGCTGCCAGAGGTAAGCACGGTAACCGATATGTGTCGACGCGCTCCGTGTGCATGCGGGTCTCTGGGTGACATTTCTGTGGCATTTCAGGCAGCAGCTGTTGCGAGGAAGTTACCCCTCTCTGCTCAAAGTGCCGTAGAGAGTGCTGGCTCTGTGCATGATGCTCGTGATCATGATTAACGTGTGTGCTCTGGAATTGTGTGTGAGAGACCACGAGTGTGGACTTTGGGATGTTTTTGCACGCTGATGTGATTCATCTACACTCGGAGTTAAATTTAGATTCCCTGGGGAGTCTTTGAAAATGTATTTTTTCTCTCATTTCTACAAAAAAATAGAAAGTTTGCTGTGAGACATGAATTTGACTGGTTTCTATGTTTACACGTGTGGGGAAGGAACAAACAAAAAAGCAAGACCCTCCCTTCCTTTTGTTTCATCTTTTCCCAGAGATGATCGGAGAAGAAAAGACTCAGTGAACAGAGCGAAGCGATGGAGAGATGGTAAGACGGATAGTTCCCAGGTTTGGGATGCAGATGCATAAAGTGTCATTCTGATTGACGGCTGGCATGGGAACCGATGTCTGAGCTGCTGATGTTGTGCAGGGCGCCTGCGGGTTCTCTCTGATAACTCCTTTTTTCCTTCCTTTTAGCTCCATCTCTCCTGTCGCACGACTCGCTGCCCTCATCTCCCTCCTCCTGGTCGCTCTGGTCTCACAGCCCTCCACCTGTAACCGTGACGACGGCGAAGAGCAGGTGGACGCCCTGTCGGTCCAGCTGTCCGTCACATCCCAGGTCACGCCCACCCCGCTGTGGGCGGTGGTGTGGGGTCCCACTCAGCCGCTGGAGGATGAGACCTACCACTTCCTCTCCAGTCAGGAAACGGACCGCCTGCACCTCCACGGGGGGCGGCAGCAGGAGGCCACGTCCGAGGATTGGCTCTATCGCGATTCAAGCATGCAGCCCCAAGAGAAGGCTCCGCTGGAGTCCAAGAACCAGGAGGGAGTGGGGGACGAAGAGGCGCGGGCGGAGGAGACGGAGCCCGAGGAAGGTGGGCAGCAGGAGACTCACATGAAGGATTTTTAAATAAAGGGAGCTGGGATGTGAGCGCACACACCAGGAGTCCTCCAGGGAATTAGCTTTCAGCAGCAGGTTGAAGGCTGACACCCTCTTGTGGGCAGCTGCGTTGAGGGGGGGGGGAGGGGGTGGGGGTAATAAAGTTCTCGTCACTCACAGGGACAATTTGGCTGATGTCAAAACTACAAGTAAACAAAATAGACGTCACAGAAATGGTGTTTTTAGTTGAGAGGCAGAACTGTGCTCATCCAATTTCACGTTTCAGCTGCTTTTATCCGTTTGTTTTGCTGTCCAGAATACAGTGATGACAGGTGTGTGTGTGTGTGTGTGTGTGTGTGTTACAGTTGACCCTCAGTTCTACGTCACCGTGACCATCTCCTCTTTGCTCATCCTGACAGCCGTCGTCATTACAGCCAAACTCTGGTAGGAAACCTCAACTCTCTTCTCCGCTCTGTATGAATACATGAATTTTTCCCAATAACCAATCGTATTTAACATGTTAAATCACAACCCCCTAATGAATACATGAATGTAAAGCAGGCAGAGTAACGGTGAGTGACTAGGCGGCTCCGGCTGTGGGGCTTCCTGTGTCACCACCCTGCCTCAGTCAACATGGCGGCACAGTGGAACGCCGTGAAGCTCGGGAAGTGAGGCACTCGATATGCAACTTATTTTATAGCCCTTCCAGATAATAACGGCCTTCCCGTTAAAGCTGGGATGTATTGAGGTCAGTTACCGGGGTGGAGATTAGGACTCTACAGGGGGTGAGAAGATAAACTTTAGGAGTTATGAGATGAATTAAACATAACTGTGTGCTATTAATTCTCTAAGTTTTTATCTGGTTAATTATGGACATAATTGAACTTTATTAATGCAACAAAAATGCCCTAAATGGACTAATTAAACTGGTATAAATGATAAATGACCCGCACTTGTATAGCGCCTCTCAGAGTAAGGACTCCAAAGCGCTTTACAGTGTATCATTCATCCATTCACACACACACATTCACACACTGGTGGTGATGAGCTATGATGTAGCCACAGCTGCCCTGGGGCGCACTGACAGAGCCGAGGCTGACGAGCACAGGCGTGTCTTGCCCAAGGACACAACAGCAGAATTCTCTGTCTGGAGCCGGGATCGAACCTGCAACCTTCCTCTCTGGGTCTAGTTTCTAATTCCATTTTTGGTTCTTTTTAAAACACAAGAAAGGTTTTTCTTTACCTTGCTGACGTTTTGTTTGCCGACTGCAAAACATCCTCAGAGCTGACGCTGATGGTGGCGTCACTTCCTACTCCGTTTATCCGCGGGCAGCAGAGGACGCTGTCGCCCTCTGCTGCCCGCTCTCCCCTCTCCGACGATGCAGTCCCATGCCCGATCCAACGTGTAAACTCCATCGTCCCTGTTCATGGTCCCACATCCACGTCTCCTTATCTCGATAGCTTCTTTTATCCATCTTTTGTATTTCTGTTGTTCGGTGTTTATGATCCTTGTGTTGTCCCAGTCCATGACATGGTTTTCTCTTGTGCAGTGATCTGTTACGGCTGACTTCTTTATTGTGCTTTCTGCTTCTTCTTTTGCTGCTCTCGTGTGTTTTCGACTTGTTTCTCTCTCACACTCCTTTCTATGTTCTGTTCGTGTGTTGAGTTGGCGTCCGGTTTCTCCTATGTATGTTTTATTGCAGAGTTGCATGGGATTTCATAAACGACTCCACATTTTTGTCCAGCTGGTATCTTGTCTTTTGGGTGCACTAGTCTGTTTCTAACTGCTGTGTTGGTGTGTTTATGTTGTGTTTTTTCATTGTTGCTCTTATTTTTTCTGTTATGCCTCTGATGTATGGTAGAGTTACCACTGGTTTTGGTTCTTGTCTTTCTGGGTTTCTGATTCTTTGCTTTGGTTGTTCTTTTCTTTTTGTTGTTGTTTGTTGTTTTCCTTTGTTTATTGCCCATGTCGGGTATCCGCAGGTCTTTAAAGCGTGTTGTATGTGTTTGTCGTCTGGTTTACGGTCTCTTTCTTCTGTTACCATGTTTGCTCGGTGATACAATGTTCTGATTACTGACATTTTGTGTATGGTGGGGTGTTCTGATGTCCATAATAAATATTGGTTTGTGTGTGTTGGTTTTCTATATGTGTGTTTATGTTTAGGGTCCCGTCGGTCTGCCTGCTTATTTTCATGTCCATAAATGCTACGCTGCCATCTGCAACCTTCCCATTACTGGACAACCCGCTCAGCCTGTTGGGCTACTGCTGCCCCAGGACTAGTTGAAGTGGACATAGTTTGGTTTTCATGTCACGCTGGAAAGTTTTCTTTTTATTTATTTATTAAAACAGAAAATTTGAGATTGGACCATTTTTCCTACTGAAATAAATGGTTTAGCCTGGTGACGCGTGTTTTCGATGTTGTTTGGTCTCGTTTGTGACTTTGGCGGTTGCATAATGGCTCTGTGTGCCCCCCACCCCCCCGAAAAGCTGAGTAATTGCTTACTAATGACTTTATTACCAACACTTGTGCTCCTGAAAGGCACAGTTGGCACAGATGTGTCATTTAGAGTCATTAGTGTTGCAATGATTAAACATTTGCCATAATGGGGGGGGGGGGGGGGGGGTGCAGCCCTAATGGGCTGGAGTGAGTGTTTCGCCACAGTCCCACCTGCCACTAGCCCTCTCACATCGTGTAAGCGCCATCTTGGCCAGCTGTGTGTTGCGTTTGATGCCGAGGTAGCACACGTGGCTGTTAGCCGGAGATGGGGGGGCCAGAGACGGGGAGTCACCAGAGTGATCTAGTGAAGCACTCACACGCTTTGCTGATCAAACCAATAACAGCCAGTTTATCTGACCACTGGGACCTCTCGCTCTCCTCACACCAAGCATCTCACCCCCCCCCAAGGCTATCGTATCCCGATTTTACATTTCACTGCCTGATCAGTCCGTCTCTCTTTTAACACTCGCTGTTAATCTCAGCTGTTTCTTTGCCTCCCAGGGATTTTTATTCCTTTTGTCTGAGACACCATGTCCTTTACTTCCAACACTGCTTGGCTCTCATCCGTCTCACTGGTCTCAGTCCCTCTCCCAGCCTCACCAGTTTGGCTGCAGATTCCCAGATAATCCCAAGCTTGCTGGATAAGTCCTCTTTCCTCCCCTCTCCGTTCCTGACTCTGGACTCGTTGTTTTTTTTAAATTTTTTGATAACTTTCTTTTACAAGCCCCCTGTTGAGTTGCTGCTGGTGGATCTAAAGTGGAAATACAAGAGAGAATTGCATGGATTCGTACAGAGCTCTCTCTCTCTCTAGACGGACTCGCTTCAGTGTCATAAATGTGTAAATAAGGCCATGTGTGAGATGGGGAGGGGGGTGCAGATGGACTGAAATGATAGCCTATAGCAGAAATTGGCCACCATCCATCCAGTTCATTATGGTTATAGAACAGAAGCATATGTGCTCAGTGTGGATGTTCAGAGGCAGGATGCTGTTTGTGTGTGAGTGTGTTGTTGGGTGGGCGATGGGGAGGTGTCAGACAGAACAGGACAGGTGCTACTGAGGGTTCAGGGTGGCTTTTATGGCTCTGAGAACAGCTTTGTTGTGCTTCAAAGTGTCCTCAAGAGCCCGGACGGGAGACGCTCCACCATGTTCATGATAACTCACTGGTCTCACTGAAGCAACGCCATGACACCTCTATGATGCCACGGCTCTTCACCTTGTTGCATCTGCCTGACCCCTCCTCCCGCTGCTCCCCGTCTCGCCCTAAAGTGCTGCCTCCTCCACACTCCCCGCAGAGCTTTAACGAGTGCCCCGACTCTCTGTCTCTCTCAGCGGCGGGGTAATGTGTTCAGCAGTGCTCCGGCTTTGTTTCTCTCTACTTCACCATCTCATCTGACTCAACCTCCAACCTCACTCATGTCTGCTCCCTAATCTGCGTTTTAATCCTCTCCTCCAATTCTTCTGTTCTCAACTCTCCAACCATTCCTCTCACTATCTTTCTCTCCCAGTTACGATCGCAGCTGTTCCCAGCATCCGCCCCCGCTTTCCCGTGGCGTGGCGCCCCCCCTCTCCCTCGCACTCTCCCGTTCCCTTGCTTCGGAGGACAGCAGGCAGACGCTGCACAGCACCACCTCCGCCTTCACCGACAGGGAGAGGTAATGAGTCGCCTCAGCAGCTCTGCACAGTCTGAGTTCATGAGTCTGATGTGCACGTGTGACTCTCTGGATTCAAGTTTGCTTCTGTGTGTGTGTGTGTGCACCAGCTTATTGCCTCTTTGCATGCGCCGTGAGAATGTGCATGGAGTATAATTGGGCAGCAACGCTATTCTCTGTAGAATATTCAGGCCTGGAGTGTTGGTGCGGCTCTAAGATGTATCAAGTGTTTTAAACCGCCTCTCCAGATGAGTCATCGCGGGCCTATGAAAAGGCGCCTATCCTCCATCCATGAAATGATGCTTTTATTCAAGGGTATTTTAAGTTAATCTCAATCAGGATAATTATAGACCTGCTCTCCAGTGCTGCTTCTTACTTCCTCCACCCGACGGCTTGTCGTCCTCTTCCTCCATCTCTTCGTCCCCAGAGACGCAGCTTTCCGTTAGCATCTCCACCAGCTTCAGGGCCTTTTTGTTCTCCTTCATCTTTCCTTCTCCCATCATCCAAAAACCCAGCCACCCTCCCTTTTCCCCTCCTTACTCACTACCTCCCTCTTCTTGTGTGTCTCTGGCTGTGTCAGGATCCCAGTGGTGAACCTGTGAGGTGACTGGTTTTTTTTCCATGTGGTAAACACTTCCACGGGGCCCTAGCAGACGCATCAACTCGGCCGAGGGGTGTGCCCGCAGCGCTGTTTTTACTTTCTCTCCAACTGTGAAACTAATTCAGGGAACCCAGGTATCCAGCCATCGCAAAAACTCCTCGGCTTCCCAGAGGTCTACGAAAATCCAAAACTCGTCTCTCTACCGCTTCCCTCCCGCTCTCCTCTTTCTGTGCTTGGCATCTTTTTTGTGCATCACTGTGACCCCGTTTTCCACTCTTGGTACGAGCGCTGCCAAGCTAGCCAACGGCTCAACCCACCATGACTAACCCACAAACAAGCAGATTAACAGCCATGCAAGATCTGATTACCCGAGACGCCCTACCTGTGCTTCCACAACCAGTGACTCAGCTGCTCACCGCTCGGCGCCGACCCAGCACTGCTACTTTCATCAAACGAGCTTGTAAATGGTTAAAGTGCCATTCTCAGCATCTCCAAACGGCTAAGAGAGTATTTCACAAACCTGTAGCCAACAGGCAATGTGTTTAACACGTCACGCTCCAAAAACTGATGTTCATTCCCCGCTTTGGGTGCACAAAATGCAAATAGCGCGGCTCCTTTCCTCTGCAGATGCAGCAGAGTCTGTTTTCTTTGGGCTTTTCCTCGTGATTTGTTCTCCTAATTGTCTGGCTGACGTTCCTCTCTTTGTTGAATCCTTGCAAGCACGCTCTGTTCCTGCTGGACCGTGCAGAGGTGTGTTTAACAGAGTACTTCCCGGGGTGTGGATGAAATATTCAGAGCATGAAAAGTTACAGCAAACGTTTAGCCCCGAAGGCTGGACGGTAGCAGCAAAAGCCAGATTTATGTTTTTTTATATATTAAATAATAGGAACACATGAATGTTGGGAAGTTTTCTTTAACCTGACGACTTTGTGTCTCAAGCTGGAAAACAAAACCATCACTTGTCTTCGTTTCAGCTGTCCTGGGTGCGCCAAATGAAAATTGTACATTAGAAGTCTCATATTTCCTCAATAAATCTGCATGGATACAGAATTATTTATAAAATGTCTATTTTACCTATCAGTGAGTACCGTATACAGGACTTTTGAAAGCTAAAGATCAGTTTTTGGCAACTTTTCTAAGCCGCTTTGACACATGAACCCATCCAGCTGCAGACTTTTAAACCTCTGACGTCGTGCCGGTGGCATCGTGGTAGCTTCAACACTTCAGATACGCAGTCTTGTGATTTTTAGTAGCCTTCCTGTAGAAATGTGGTCTTTTCTGTACCATGGGACTAAAATAAAGACTCAACGGTGACGTTTTAGCTTTGTGTCTGTTTATTTCAGTGCTTGTTGAACGAATTCCCCTGGGAGCGGTGCAATCCGCGATGCTTTATGGGAAGGATGAAGCTCACACTGTGCATTTCAATGGATACCTGCGAATCCTAATCTGTCTCTCCCTGATGTGAACATTCAGTCCACTGCGTTGCATTGATTTTAAACCACAGACTTGGCATTAGAAAGTCCCGCTTGTGCCAATCATGTTTTCACCGCTGAGGGAAGCCGCTGAAAAGGAGCGAGGAGTAATGCTGCTGCTCGCGTCTGAAGCCGTTGCTTATCTCCTCCAACAGGATGCAAACAAATTCCTCTGCGTGTAGTTTTTCCAAACAAGCGTCAATAAAAGTCACGGCGGGCACGAGGAGAGAAACGCCACTGGTGTGCTTGGAGATTCTCGCCACCAATCCGCTGTGCAGCCGGCGTTTCCGCCTCCTCGGGGGTCTTTTTACTGATCAGAGTAATTGATTGGCTGGGTTCCACTCCCAGGTTTTAATGGCTGTATGACACACACACACACGCACACGCACGTAGATGCGGCAGTAATCCATCACCATAAACACTTACGCAGAAGTCAGGTGTGAACTAGAGGTGTTGGTGAGATAATCAGTCATTCTACGACAAACTCAAACAGCTGCTTGACGTCTGCAGCTCCAGAAAAAAGCGAGGAAAAGACGAAGCCGACTGAAATGAACACCTCTATTTATAGAGGTGAGGTGGGGCGAGACGGAGGGTGGTGCTGGAAAGATGCAGGGTTCGATGGAACGGGATCGTTTTCTGTCTCCTTGCTCGTCACCATCGCCGCTGGTCATCTAATTGCCGCCATTAATGTCAGGAAGGGAGAGGGGCGTTTAGAGGAAACGGGATCTGACGGGTGGGAAAGGGACACAGCAGGAACGATGAAGGCAATTTTGATAGTAATGGAGGCCCACGGAAAAGTGGCGGGCAATTCTGACATTCTAATGGAAGCTGTGAGTGCAGCAGAGCGTCTGCTGTAGCTGTATGGCATCTGTGTGTGTGTGTGTGTGTGTAGTCGTGCTCTCCATAATACAATAATCTCTTTGGGGACACGCCCTAATTAATGACTTGACCTCCAAACGGGTGGACCCCTTCTGCGGGTTAACATTTAGTCGTGCGCTCTCCTGAGAAGTGCGTTTAATAAAAGAAGCAGCAGCGACATTAATCAGGCAGTCGAGATAAGTACAGGGCTTCTTTTATTTGTCCATCATGTCAGATTCTGATTTTATACAACTCATCAGAGAGAGAGAGAGAAATAAAACAAAGCGAGGGAGAATGACTGTGAACCAAAAGAACAGCGATACACACAAACATTTAGTTCAAACACACTGATCCTGCTTCTGGTTGAAGGCAGCCGACTCCTGCTGCAGACGACGGTGTCCTGTGTGTAATTACACCCACAGCCTGCCTGTGAGAGTGAGAGTCACACCTGATCTATCCACCGGCCAGGTGTGTGTGTGTGTGTGTGTGTGTGTGTGTGTGGATCCGTAACGGTTAGATCTGGCGATTAAAAGTCCCCGTGAAGCTCTGTGGCTGAACAGCAGAAGTGTGAGTGAGGAGGGTGATCCTTTAGTGGTCACATTGTTTTAAAGTGTCTGTCCACCAATGTGTCCGTTAATCAGAGAGCGTCCCATGCTGCTGTCCTCCAGTCCTAATCTTTTGTCCTCAGTTGGACTTGGACCAGATCTTCCCGCTGCCGCGCAGCCTGTCAGGGACACAGCCAATAAAAACACTGAGTTTGTGCTTCATCTGAGACTTGTTTCAATAACGCTGCGCTCACACGTTCTCCGGGGGGGGGGGGGGGGGGGGGGGCTTTATTTAAATAAATATATATATAAATAAATAAACCCACTCAAATTACTGATGCAACCTGGGTGCAAAGGTGTTAGGCTGCAAGTGATTCGAGAAGATTTTCCTACTCCTGCAAAAAAATAAATTCTAATTATAGCTTTTGCATGATCAAGACGGGAATTGTGTCAAAACTTATTTTGAGGATTGAGGTTAAGCTATCATTAATTTGGATGTGAAAACATGGAGTGGATCTTCATTTGAAAGGAGAGCAGACGCTGGATGATGGAAATTACAGAGCTGAACGCCTCAAACGGTGACAGGCAGCCAGAAAAATAATCACTGCTTTCAGTTCGGAGGAAAAACATAAACAGCAAACATGTGAGACATCCTCACTGCGGGGAGGAGGAGGAGGGGGGGGGGGGGGTACCCAGTGACATTTTACAATTTAGGACAGATGTGGAATTAGCCATTGGGAAAAAGGACCGGATGAAAACGAAGCGGGAGGAGATGTTTACTGAGCCGGGTTCTAGTACTGCTGCAAAACACTGCCGTGTGGCTTATAATGAAACTGCTTCACACACACACACACACACACACACACACACACACACACACACACACACACACACACACGCACACACACACACGCGCGCACACACACATGCACGCACACACACGCGCGCGCACACACAAACACATGCACGTGCACACACGCACAAACAAACGCACACACACACATACACGCACGCACGCACACACACGTGCGCGCACACACACAAACACACACGCACGCACGCACACACAAAAACACACATGCACACACATGCACACGTGTGCGCACGCACAAACAAATGCACGCACGCACACACACACACACACACACACACACACACACACACACACACACACACACACACACACACACACACTTAAGGAGCTGGCTTTTTACCGTTTATTGCAGAAATGAAAGCAGCCTCGTCTCCTGGGTGTTACCTTCTGCTCTCTACAGAAACACCGGACTAATGGCTTTAATTTAGAGTCTGAAACAGGCTTTATTTTTATTTTGCTGTGGGTATAACTTCAGAAAGGGAGATTCATTTTTACAAAGTCACTTCCAAAACTCTCAAAGTGCTTCACAGAGCAAAAGGGAGAAATGCCAACAAAATGTATTCAATAGAAATAAAAGCCTCCGTCTGAAGCGTTCCGTTCAGATTCTTCCGCTTGTTTGTAACGAACATTTGTTCAGGGGGAAAAAAATTAACACAGACTTAATTTCAGCCGGCGCCAGCGTTGTGTGTGTGTGTGTGTGTGTGTGTGGTGGTGGTGGGGGGGGGGGGGACGGACGGACGGACATAAAATCGGGTAATTGTTCGGTTTTAACAGAGAACGAAGCCGACAGATGGAGCAGAACTCACCCTTTCACCTTTGAAGCCTTTTTGCCGGGCTGCCGTGGTTCCTGAGATGAAGCGGGGTCTCGTGGTTCAGCGGGCTGATCTGCATCCTGATTGGACGCTGCTCCGGCAGGGGCGGGGCCTGAAGACGGAGATGCGGCGCTGGCCTTTAATGTTTTCTGCAGGTTTGAGACCTGGTGTGTACAAACACAAACAAAAAGGACATTAAAATTTTTAAACTGACTTTTCCAACAACAATCAAACCGCCGACAGATCGGTAAAACTATTCTGCACGGCCACATCTGTCCTGAGAGTCATTCAGTCATTTATTTATAGAGCACCTTCCCGCTGCCAATCACGGCAGCCCAAAGCGCTGAACACAACGATGTAAAACAACAAGCATCAAAACAGAAAGTGATGCAGCATAATAAAAATGAAAAAGTACTACATGAGCTCATGTCGAGTACCAGGGCAATAAAACCCCGGATATGCAACAGCACCGCATACAGATGAGAACTAAAACCAGGCCGTTTAGGTGGATAACTGCAAACTAAGCCCACCTTCATCGCAGCAGCTCATAAACGCTCGACAGACTCAACTGCTGGATTCAGGAGTATGCAAATGGCTGCTTCTATACAGCAAACATTCAACGGTTTTGTTCAAATTATTGATTATTACGACCTCAACTGAACCATAAAGCCGCCATCAAGTTGTGTCAAATGGAGCAAGACTCCAAAGATGTTAAATTAGATCGTTACCCGGTATTAAAGTCAGGGTGAAATGCTAACGATGCTATAATGCAGAAGATGATACGGTGAAGGGAAACAGGACAAGGGATGCAACGATACCACTTTTTTCCAAACCGATACGATGCCGATACTTGGATCTGATTATTCGCCGATACCGATTACCAATACTGATACTTCCACCACACAAAAAATTCAATGATTTGGAATACAGATTTTATTTTCTTCTCTGCTTTCAACAGGAAAAGACTGTGAGGTAGATAGAAAGTAAAATAAATGAATGGAAATCATCACATAACTAAAATATTAGGTGACAAGTTACAGTGAAGCCATTTTCAAGCAACTGCATTGGTATCGGTTCCTAGTATCGGTTAACTTTTACCGATACTGGTATCGGCACCGATACCAATACCAGTATCGGTATATCCCTAGATAGGACCCCCTAGTGTCCATTTGTAGAACCAAAACCAATCTCCTCGCCGTGTGTTTGTGTTTTTAACACCTTCATCTAAGAGCTGAAATGTCTCCCCAGACTTCATTAGTGTCTACAGGAGCGGTTCATCACTAAAGTGAACATATCAGCTGTGTTCATGATCTAAAACATGCAGGAAACATGCTGGAAGCAGACTGCAGTGCCAGGTAAGTCCCAACAGAGCGGCCCGCCAGCCTGAAGTTGCGAGTGGAATATTCTGACCACAGGGGGCGATAGGGGCTGGGAAGCCTTTCAATAACCCTGTAAAGCAGAGCTATTCAATTCCGGGTCTCGAGGGCCGGTATGCAGCATGGTTTAGATGTTTCTCTGGTCCAACACACTATTCATGTGCAGCAGCTCATCAGGCTCTGCAGTAGCCTGTTAATCACTTGCTGATAGCAATCAGGTGTGTTGAAGCAGGGTTAAAACTAAACGTGCCGGATACCGGCCCTCCAGGCCCAGAATTGAAAAGCCCTGCTGTAAAGGGTCATTTTAGCACATAACGGCTCAAGATGATTAAAAAAATATGAACAAGTTGCAAAGTGTGGCTTTAAGGCACACTTGGGATTTTTATACTCATCAGAAAGAGAGCAACAGGAAAAACAAACTCAGTTTAATCCGCTTCACAATAAAAATTCTATAACTCAGCGATACGACCACGACGAGAAGCTACATCCGCCGTTTTTATTCTGCGGCCAAAAGGAACACAGCCAGCTCAAATCAGGATTAAGGAGATCTCTGCTTTGCCCTTTTCCTCAGAAACAAAAGAAAACCCAACTCTTGCAACTAAAACATGAGCAAAGAGCTCAGCAAACAGAAACAGGAAACTCTGGTGACAGACTCACGCATGAGCCTGAATAAAGAGACATTTCTGCTCTAATCATCATAGATTCAGGCTGATCTGACTGCTCTAATTTATCATAAAACAAATCATCCATTAGGAGGTCATTAGTGCTGAGATCCACATTTAAGACTTGTTAAAAAAAAACTGCTTTAACCTGTTCCACGTGTTTCTGCACACAGACTTCACACAGTCCACCTTCTGTCCCGGCTGAAATCGGTCTGAATACAAGTCATGTCTGGATGGATTTATACGACGCAAGAGAGCTGGAACAATCAAACGTCAGCTAGGACTTTACTGTTAAATCTGGAACGAATGCTGATAACAGAGCACTGTGTGTGTGTGTGTGTGTGTGTGTGTGACTGACAGCAGCTGCCTGAAGCGTTGGCATTAGAAAATTAAAACAAATCATCCAATTTAACGTTGAGCTCACACCAACACAATGAAGACAAGATGTATTAAAAAGGTCGTTTTATTTTTTATGATAAAGACTCCAATTCTGCTTAATTACAGATGGACGTGCTTTCATCATTGATGCTGGAAAAGAAAACCTTCAAGCCAGAGCGACCAGAGGAGACGACCAAAACCAGCAGATGGAGGAAAGTAAAATACCACAGGCAGCCAGGAGCAATACAAAATACAACAATGCTGAGAAGAAAGAGACATTCAGGCTCTGAATCTTTCCTGATAAAAGGAAATCAGACTTTAAAGGGACGATAAGGAAGCTTGAGAGCCAAAACATGTATAGAAATAATAAATGTCTTCTTCATACATTCTCCTGCAATGCCCTGGTCCTGTAGAATGAGCCCTGGCATTTTTACTGTGATTGCCTGTTTTTCTGTAAAATCACAGAAAAAGAGAGATGCTCGGGTCGAGCAGGCTGCTTCATGCGCGTTCACGCTCAGGCATCGCCCGTAGCATTTGCTATCCGTAGCTTTAGCAGCAGAGAGTGAGGTAGTGCCAACTCAGCGACTTTGTCGCTGTTCCTAACGCCTAGTGACGAACCTAGCTACATTTCTGAGGACCCTTAGCTACTTTCTGTAGAACTTTCTTCTAGATATTTCCTGCAAATTAACAACAAAATAGCCATTTTCGCTTCGAACCGTTCTGTGGTTTGACGTTGTTTCAGCTGTCATCAAGGATATAAAAGTTACAGAAACCATGAATGCTAACAGAGTTTAGCTCCCATAGTAAGATGTCTGACTCCCATGCAGGAGAGCCGGGTTCAATTCTTGGTGGGGACATAGTTTATTTAGAGTTTCTTTTTTTACATTAATGGTATATTTTTTTACAGTAATAAATGCCCAAATTTTTATTTGAGACTCGCCGAACGGCATTGAATTCACAGATAAAATAGATGTGGGTTCAACTTAGGGCTGGGCGATATGGCAAAAATAGAACATCACGATTTTTCCAATATTTTATCACGATTTCGATTTTATCACGATTTTTTATCCATGAATAGCATAACTTCAATTGCATATTAAAGAAGAGAAACATTGAATAAATAAACATTTATTCATATTAGGGATAATCAGCACAGTGCTAACACACTTATATTTTAAACTCACACCAGAGATGATAAAAGCCCTGAGAGAAACAATTACAAAAATCTGTTTTTCTCATTTTTCTAGTAACTTAACATAAATTAAAATATTTAAAGTGCAAACATGTCAATTGCAAACGTATTGTGCAAACATTAACTTGTTCAAAATACTATGTAGCTCCCAGTTGCTCATGTAGTGGATAGTTAAGCTCAAATACGGCTCTGATGTGCGGCTGGACCAGAGATCGCTTGTGGTAGCAAAAAACTGCGCATTCTGAATATTTTCTGCAACAAGTCTCTAAATAAAGTAAAAATTTCCAGTGCAGATTGGAGACAACCCATAGAAGCACTGATTTGATCTCATTTCAGAGAAAAATAGAACAGGTTAGATGCACCTAATGAATAAAATTACTAACAAACTCAGGATTCTTTCTTTGCTTCACTGTTCTGGTGCTGAAAACATCACTAATGCGGATCAAAGGAGATACACAGATGAATGCACGTCTTATTATTTGGAAACTACATTTACTGCAGCTGGCAGAGGCAGAGATTGTTTCTATTGATACACGGATTTACAGAATCATTTTAAATGTTAATAGGGGAAGACTGCAGGAGGGAGCGGTAAAATACAGGGGGTCCCCAACAAAAACAAGAAACTACGAGTCTGATGAAACCCGCTGGTTTTCCATCAGGCAGTCACGGCGCAGCTCCAACGACCCAGTGACCGAGCTCAGTCCGGTACCGACACCGGCTCGGCAGAGGGTGAACAAGCCGAGGCGACGTCGTGCTCTGCTTAAGAAGCGGTGTTATTTTCCTGCTTCAGAAGAAGCGTCCAACGTGTTTTTAAGCTTTCTCCGAGACATGTCACGTCGCTAAGTTGTTAGCGCCGCGCGCTAAGGAAACCCTGCGTTCCTCTTCGGAACGAAAACCTCGTTGTCGCTCAGCCGCGGCAAAGCCATGTTTGTTCACACACAAATGAAAACAAGCGGGGCACTAATATATGACTCACTCTGATTGGTTAAGGGTCAAACAAAGGCGTGTCATTCGCCTGAGGTAAGTTCCCTTTTCATTCAGAGGCAGAAATTCAACAGCAGAGCTGTGAATCGTGATAAAACGGTCTCTCAAAAATGACAGACCGTCAGATGTGTAGATCGTAAAACGGTCTAAAATCGTCATATCGCCCAGCCCTAGTTCAACTTTCATTTGGGAACAATATTTCTAGCAAGGGAAGGGAATGATCTGAGCATGCAGGAGGACTGACCCATCTTTGTCGGCTGTGCTGAAGAGAAAGGTACAGAACCAAATTATTGAATTAGCTGCGCGTTCTCCTGTCCTCCGGGCCACACACACACAGGACTGTTTCAGCTGTTATTTTCGTTAAGGAGTGTGCACGTACAGCATGCGCGCCTCGTGCACGAGCATACTATCGAAGCTGCCTTTACGCTTTTGGCCTGAGGGGGCAATCGCGAGCATAAAAATTCAAAACTCCGTAAAGTCCCTTTAAGCTGAAGGGATATGGAACCAACCTCTGTTTCCACTTGAACTTTGACCTTCAGCTGATTCTCTCTGTATTGGTTTGCCCTGGAGACCTGCTCCTCGATGCCACACAGGACCGCCTCACACCCTGAACACCTGAGAGCCGGAAGCAGACTGGGAGTTAGGAGGCCGAGTGTGCACGTAAACATAGATGCATCTATATACTGACCACTCCTGCAGAGTGTTGATTATGTTTGGGAGCTCATTGGGACCGAGGTCACGACCTACGCTGCAGTCTACTTCCACCTGCTGGTTCCTCTGATCCAGCTTTCCCTGGATGATGTCACAGTAAACGGCCTCGATCAACAGGTCCTCCAGTTCCCGCACGTTCTTTAGCTCCAGCTGCTGCAGGAGCAGCGAGTACGGCAGGCACTGTCAAAGAAAATCCAAAACCACAAAGCTAAATAAACCCAAATCTCTATATTCTCATCACTGAGCCGATAATTTGATTGCACTGAAATGATCTGATGGAAAAATGACTGAAAATGTTCCAGTAAAAATAGTAATTAGTCGAAAACTTTGCTGCTATCAAAACGTAAAGTGTAACGATCCATTACTGGGCAATTAGAGAGTTCAAGCCAAAGACGGAAAGAGCAGTGACACAAAAAGGGGGCAGAAGTGAAAGGAGCGATGTTAATGGGAGGAGAGATAAAGCAAAAGGGAGAAAGGACAGCGTTAGCGAGGATAATGAATCAATTATTTATCGGGAGCAGAGAAAGAAAAGGGCGCGAGGAAAGGTGTCACGTTGTAGAAAACGGCAAATGAGCAATGACTCAAAAAGTAAAAAACTAGTTTCTAAGACTCATCTGTGGGTCGTGAGGTTTAAACACACCGACACAAGCCGACAGTCACAGGATGAACTCAGTCAGAATCAAACAATTAAGTCCTGTTTAAAAGCAGTGTTGTCTATAAATCAGTGATGTAGGAGCAAGCGTAATGTAAAGCCTGCAGCTACAGAAAATTTATGTTCTACAGTCTCAGAAAAAGGAGAAATCAATAGAAAATTACAGTTTAGCACTTTTATGTTAACACTGAAGGGAAAGGTAATGAACACGTACCTTGAGGTTGGAAGCCAAACTAATAATGGAAAGGTGACGGAGTTTGTTTCTTTGTGCTGGGGTCAACTCTGGAAGTGAGGCGGCTCGCTCTGAGGCAGAAAAAAGAGATGAGAATAACCAACCAAGAAGACAAAATGTGGAGAAAACATTACAAAAGTATTGTTAAAAGGTGAGATTTAATGTTAGTTTCCTGTATGACCGGTGTCAGAGCTTGGTCCGCAGAGCCGGCAGTAAGTCGGGCTCGTTCCCGGTGAGAGTTAGACACCGCCAAGGCTGCCCTTTGTCACCGATTCTGTTCATAACTTTTTGGACAGGATTTCTAGGCGCAGCCAAGGTGCTGAGGGCATCCGTTTTGGTGGCCTGAGGATCAGGTCTGCTTTTTGCAGATGATGTGGTCCTGTTGGCTTCATCAGAACGTGATCTCCGGATTTCGCTGGAGAGGTTCGCAGCCGAGTGTGAAGGAGCTGGGATGAGAATCGGCTCCTCTAAATCCGAGATCATGGTCTTGAGTCGGGGAAGGGTAGAATACCTTCTCCTGGTCAGGGATGAGGTCCTGCCCCAAGTGGAGGAGTTTAAGTATCTCAGGATGATGTTCACCAGTGAAGGAAAGCTGGAGCAGGAGATCAATAGGCGGATTGGTGCTGCGTCTGCAGTGATGCGGGGGTTGTAGCGGTCTGTCGTGGTGAAGAGAGAGCTGAGCCAGAAGGCAAAGCTCTCGATTTACCGGTTAATCTACGTTCCTACCCTCACCTATGATCACGAGCTTTGGGTAGTGACCGAAGGAACAAGAATCACGGATACAAGTGGCTGAAATTAGTTTTCTCCGTAGGGTGGCTGGGCTCTCCCTAAAGCCGGGCGTACACTGTGCGACTTTTTCACTTTTTTGAGCCGATTTTCCACTTGTGCGAGAATCCACGACATCGGGGCGAGTTTTGCGCCGAGCGGTCGTGTAGTGTACAGGGGGTTATGAGAGGCGATTAACACCACGTGACCAGCTACCGATCAGCAGTCGTGAGGTCGCACGGACTTCTGGAGTGTTTAATATTTCGCTCGTCCCTCGTGAGGGTATCGCACTGTTGAAGCGGCGCTGCGAGCAGCTGCGACCCAAAAAGTATCAGAACCGCTCACGGCGCAATCCTGCATCAACACCGCTCGCTCGCCATTTCCCTAATAACACACGCTGTTCGTTTTTGTTTCTACACGTTTTTTTACTCACAAAGATTGTCAAGAAAGCGTGTTTGTCGTGTTCATGTCAAATTAAACTGATCACAAAACACAGATTTACTTTCTTTATTTCGTTTTACTCATCCAACCCCCATAAATCCCTGTGTGTCCTCCTGCAGCACTCCCGAAGGACAACAGGCAAAACAAGACAAAATAGTCTGACGTGTAAAAACTGCTATTTTTAGCATATTTTTAGGTCCGACGTGTTGCTACCAGACGTACAGTGTGAGCACATGGCTCGTGAGATCTGCTCTGCGAGGAAGTCGTACAGTTTGAGCTGAAGCTGAATGCTGCGAGTGAAAAAGTCGCACAGTGTACGCCCGGCTTTAGAGATAGGGTGAGAAGCTGCGTCATCTGGGAGGGGATAGGAGTAGATCCGCTGCTCTTCCACATGGAGAGGACCCAGTTGAGGTTGGGATGCCTCCCTGGTGAGGTTTTCCAGGCACACCTTGGGATTCCTCAGAGGAGCTGGTCCAAGTGGCTGGGGAGAGGGAAGTCTGGGCGTCCCAGCTTAGGCTGCTGCCCCCGTGACAAGACCACGGATAAGCCGAGAATAATGGATGGATTTAATCTAGGTTTTTGACTGTCAGTCATTAATATTATCCAGTCGTAGCCCTGCTGCATAATGTATTTATGGGTGTTTTCTGACTGTGTGTAATTAAGGGAAGAGATTATTTAAATGTACTGCACAAACTCATTTAATTCACCTGCCCAGGCTGAAATCACGGGGGTAAAAATAGATCCTTGTCAGGTGTAAATTAGAATAAATCAGCCTTATTAGTAAATGTCACTTTGTAAGAGTCGCTTAGCAGAGGGATTAAAAGTCAAACACAACAAGGCAGTTTGATAGCTCGGAGTGTGACGTTGCACGGTGATTCTCAGATCTGCTTAGGCAGTCAAAGGACGGCGTCTGGAGGAGGATGGGAGCAGGTAGGTCTCCAGCGACCGTGTTTGCTGGAGACAGGGCTCACACTGTCCAAAGACAGCAGCTCTGACAGCTCATCAGAGGACTGCACCACACAGCCATAAGAAAACAAATAACCTCCTTAACAGCACGACCCAGAAGAGAGACGAGAAACAAGCCGTGCTACGCCATTTCTCTAAGCTACTGGTTAGTGTTCGACATTTAATTAAACATAATCATTATTTTTCTTGTGATGGTTCACAGAGGGAAAATTAAACCACAAGCAATTAGTTTATCATCCATTTGTGCCCGTGGTCATGAGACAAGCGCCATCAGAAAATGAAGAACACTTGGAGAAAAGTTATGACGGCAATTTCATCCGTTAATAAAGTGTCTGCCGTGTCTTACGTGAGATTGTTCAAAGCCTTTGTGTTACGGCGCCTGCCTCGCAGCAAAGACATACAGCCCAATAAAAGAGTCGCAAGGCTATACTCTATTACTTATTTACATAGTGCTGCCACTGCAGTACCTTTGTAGTCGCAGTAGGTTCCATAGGCGAAGAGGTTCAGGAGCTGGTAAACCGGAGCATGCGGGCCGTTCTCCAGCTGTAGGTTGAAAGATGAAAGACATTTTATTTGGTTGCACTTCGTCAACGCACACTGAGCAAGTCTGGCGAAGGGTCTCACTGCGAGGCAGAAAAGGTTAGAAAAACAAAACTAAACATGAAGAACTATTTTTAAACAGCAAAAAGAGGACTGGATGAATATTAGGGCTGCACAATATTAGGAAAACCTACGATATTCGATAATGATTAATATTGCGATGACGATATTACTTGCGATAAATAAAAACTTAAATCTTCTTTCCGGAGTATTTCTCTTATCCAATGGCACCATCTAGTGGCTGACAAGCGTATCACACAAAGCCGCTGTTCCTCTGTTTTTTTAAGATGGCGACTTCACGTTTCTGTTTATAAATGTGCTTCTGTAGCCGACAAACAGAGCTAAAGCACGTTGTTTTACGAGTATTATTCTCATGTCCTGTTGTGTTTTCATTTATTTATATTTTAGAGACTTTCTTGTCCGTGAAAAAGTTCATCAACTCTGCATCAGCCGAGGTATTCCTTAAATGTGAAGCGTCTAAGCGGTAGTCTAACGCTATTGGTTAGTTCTGGTCGGCGCTCAGTTTCCTATTGCACAGAGCTCTGTGGGGCTTAGCAAAAAAAATTAAAAAGACGTATTGCTTATATCACAGTACATGATAAGATAATCACTTTTACGGATTTCTGACAAATCATACATCATTTCTGAAAGAGGAAAACTCCGGAAAGCAGCTTTAACTCAGGAACAAAAATAATCAAAAACAAAGAAATAGAAAAATCTTAAAAATGAGAAAAGCAAAAGATGTGAGGAAAGGGAAAAAGAAAAGGCAATCAGTGGATCCCAGGAAATGCTGAATCAGCAGAAAGAGCAGAACAAAGCTAACTCAGGTGTTTGCTAACCATCAAAATGAAGTGCCGTCCACCTCGGGGGCGGGCATCTGACCTATGAGAACCCACCCAATTGGCCAAATGGCTGAAGAGCTCTATTTGATTTGTTAAAAAAAATCATGCTTCTGTTTGATTGACAGAATGCATCATGTGTAGCAAACATCTGAGCTGACCATTCATTGCGATATTAATCTGTTCTTTACAATATGCATATATTCATGCTGATATCGCAATAACAATATATTGTGCAGCCCTAATGAATATGCAGGTGAAAATGAGTCTGTGTTATGAACCTCTCTGGTCAAATCACACCCAGTTTCTCTACAGCCAGATTAGAAAAGGAATTTTAATTAGGCCCGAGCAGCAAAGCGCTGCGAAGGCCTCTTGTTTTTGCTCTGTTTATTATTAGGCCCGAGCAGCGAAAGCGCTGCGAAGGCCTCTTGTTTTTGCTCTGTTTATTTTTATTTATTATTCTTAGCCCGCTTTGAATGGCTTTTTGGGGACCTTATCATACCCCAAAACTCACAATATTTTGCAAAGATGTCAGGCCTGGTGAAAAATTTGATATTTTAATGGTCCCAAAAAAATTGCAAAGAAAATGGCTGAACAGCGCCCCCTAGAAAGTGAAAAAAACCCTTCTCCATAAAGCTTAGTTTATCGTACAATTATGAAATTTGGTACACTTGTAGTACTCACCAGTCCGCACAGAAAAGTCTCTTGCAAGCATGGTCAATATCAAACAGGAAGTCGGCCATTTTGGGTTGAAATGGCGATTTTTAGCCGTTTTTGCCGTTTTTAGGGTCCGTTTCTGATTGGATTGCTCGATAAATTTTCGCACCATCATCTCAAAAATTGTGTCAAATTGCTCAGAAGGGATGGCCGAACAAAATGAGATGAGAATTCTGAGTTTTCGTATATGTTGAAGGGGCGGGGCCAGGCCTCGAAGTTTGACTACTCGCCAAAAATATTTAAATTGCTATAACTTCATAACTGAATGGAATAGAGTTACCAAACTTTCTGTGGTCATTCGTCATCCACCCACAAAGTAAATTGAATGGTCGGATGATGACATCACACAAGCCCCGCCCCCTCAGGACCAAAAAGATCAAGTTTTACTGTGAAAGGTCCCAAATTGCCCCATTTCACTTAATCACCACAAATTTGTAGCTGGTAACTCAAGACAAGTGGGGGTTGCTTGGCGTCACTTTATGGGAGTTTTCGGCAGAGGGCGGGGCTGTGGCGGCGCGGCGAATTCAGGCGTACCGCCGTGGCCTTACGTTTGCCTCCCATTTCGTCATTTCCAAAGATATCGTCACGAAACTTCTTGTGAGTGATCCTAGTCCGGCCCCCCAAAAGATCTGATGTGAACATCTGGTGGGCGTGGCCTATTTTCTGAAATAGCGCCCCCTAGGACCATTAAAACTGTCAGCCCCAAGCCATGCTTTGACTGAGGATTACGAAATTTGGTACACTAATGTGGTGTCTCACGACCTACAAAAAAGTCTCTTGGAGCCAAGTGCAAAGTCGCACAGGAAGTCGGCCATTTTGGTCCAAGTGCGCGATTTAGTGGTTTTCACACACGTTGTTTGGAGAGTGATGCTCCGTCGCCCTTTTCACCAATCACTTTCAAACTTCTGCTATATAGTCTTAAGACATAGAGGAAAAAATTCAACCGTCGGATTTTAAATAAGTATAAAGGTGTGGGCGTGGCTAAGCCTCAAACTTTGACCTTTCGCCACGCCACTCTTTTTTTCACAGCTCCTTATTGGACTCCTTTTACCCAATCACCAGGAATCTCTGGTAAATAGCAGCAGGCAAGTTGAGGTCACTTGGTCTCCAGTACTGGAAGGTTTTGAAAAAAGGCGGGGCTTTGGGAGCATGGCGAAATTCGCCATCACGCCATGGAAATACGTTTGCCTCTCATTTCTTCATTTATCGTGATATCACCTCGACCATTGTTGTGAGTGATCCTAGTCTGACCCCCAATAGAAAAGGTCAGCTTAAGTTTGTGGGCGTGGCCTATTTTCTGTATTAGCGCCCCCTAGGACCATTAAAACTGTCAGCCCCAAGCCATGCTTTGACTGAGGATTACGAAATTTGGTACACTAATGTGGTGTCTCAGGACCTACAAAAAAGTCTCTTGGAGCCAAGTGCAAAGTCGCACAGGAAGTCGGCCATTTTGGTCCAAGTACTCGATTTAGTGGTTTTCACACACGTTGTTTGGAGAGTGATGCTCCGTCGGCCTTTTCACCAATCGCCTTCGAGCTTCTGCTATATACTCTTAAGACATAGAGGAAAAAATTCAACCGTCGGATTTTAAATAAGTATAAAGGTGTGGGCGTGGCTAAGCCTCAAACTTTGACCTTTCGCCACGCCACTCTTTTTTTCACAGCTCCCTATTGGACTCCTTTTACCCAATCACCTGGAATCTCTGGTAAATAGCAGCTGACAAGTTGAGGTCACTTGGTCTACAGTACTGGCAGGTTTTGAAAAAAGGCGGGGCTTTGGGAGCATGGCGAAATTCGCCATCACGCCATGGCAATACGTTTGCCTCTCATTTCTTCAATTATCGTGACATCGCCACAAAATGTCTGGTGAGTGATCCTAGTCTGACCCCCAATAGAAATGGGCATCTGAGATTTGTGGGCGTGGCCTATATTCTGAAATAGCGCCCCCTAGGACCATTAAAACTGTCAGCCCCAAGACAAGGTTTGACTGAGGATTACGAAAATTGGTACACTCATGTAGGGTCTCTGGCCCTACAAAAAAGTCTCTTGGAGCCAAGCGCAATTTCGCACAGGAGGTCGGCCATTTTGGTCCAAGTACTCGATTTAGTGGTTTTCGCACACGTTGTTTGGACATTGATGGCCCGTTGCCCTTTACACCGATCACCTTCAAACTTATGCTATGTACTTTTAAGTCAAAGGGGAAAAAATTCAACCGTCGGATTTTAAATAAGTATAAAGGTGTGGGCGTGGCTAAGCCTCAAACTTTGACCTTTCGCCATGACATTACTTGACTTAATAACTCCCATGTGCATGATCAGATCTAATTCAAACTTTGTCTGTGTGATCACTGACCACATCTCAAGACAAAGACAATGTGGACAGCTGACATCACCTAAGCCCCGCCCCCTGACAACAGGAAGTCTATTGTTTTATGGTGAAATGCCCATATTTGTCCCCTCTAATTTAATGAAAATGACACTCAGGTCATACAGTGTCTTCATGATGTTTTAAAGACCATTCAGATCTGATAGCTTTCCAGAAAGGGAGGGGCTTTGATGTCATGGTGAATGCTGGCGTGACGCCATGACCTTACATTTGACTGTAACTTCCACAAACGGCCTCCGATTTGCCCGAAACTGAATATGGCAATGAACAATCATGCCCTTTAGCCAATGAGGCACAAACGGTTGGTGAATGTTATATAATGTCACCAAAGCTGACCTCAATGGGACTTTTCTGTAGTTGGTCACAGCGCCACCTAGATAACGTTATCCTTCGATAACTTTAAAAAACATGGTCAGAATAGCATTAAAGTTGGTCACTGTCATCACACCACCAGTGTGGTAAAGATAGAGGATTCCCTAGTGGTGAGACATAAAATATAATGGTGGGCTCAAAGGGGATGCTGAGTCAGGGTGAGTTGCGGACAAGGTGCCGTTAGCAGTTTCTGGTGTTGGGGTGGTCGACGTTTGTGTTCTGCGGACGTGCCCTGGTGCCCCGGGCTGCCGGCCAGGCCGGAGCGGCGCGGAGCTGCGAGGGCCGAACGACGCTGCTTGCAGCTTTAATTATTTTTTATTATTCTTAGCCCGCTTTGAACGGCTTTTTGGGGACCTTAACATACCCCAAAACTCACAATATTTTGCAAACTTGTCAGGCCTGGTGAAAAATTTGATATTTTAAAGGTCCCAAAAAAATCACAAAGAAAATGGCTGAACAGCGCCCCCTAGAAAGTGAAAAAAACCCCTCTCCATAAAGCTTAGTTTATCGTACAGTTATGAAATTTGGTACACTTGTAGTACTCAACAGTCCGCACAGAAAAGTCTCTTGCAACCATGGTCAATATCAAACAGGAAGTCGGCCATTTTGGGTTGAAATGGCGATTTTTTGC